ATATCAACCCTGTGCTGACAAAGAAACTAATTTTTGACAAAGATAAAATTATCGAGTATAGTTGGATTAAATCAAACACAGTTGGACAAAAACATCAAGCACAGACGGACAAAAATATCAAGCACAGACGGATAAAAACATAAAGCATGGATGGATAAAAATGTCAAGCATGGTCGGATAAAACCATCAAGCACGTACAGATAATTATCAAGCACGTACAGATAATTATCAAACACATACAGATAAAACATCAAGCACGTACAGATAAAACATCAAGCACGTACAGATAAACATCAAGCATGAACAGATAAAAATATCAAGCACGTGATAGATAAACATCAAGCATGAACAGATAAAAATATCAAGCACTTACAGATAAATATCAAGCACGGGACAGATGAAAATCAAGCATAAACAGGTAAAATGTCAGACACGGAGTGACATTTTGTCTAGCCATGCTTGATATTTTATCGCACAATGTCTGATAATTTTGTCCAACTCGGCTTGCCATATTTATGGACATGATATCATGATGTTCTTTTTTTTTGACACTACATCCTGAATTTTTCTATCAATTATTTAATAACAAAAAATTTTTTTTTTTTAATATAAAAGTTACCAATTTATTTATAGTTAAAATTATTAAAATTATCGATTTTTTCAACATAATTTCAGCCAATCAGCCAATCCGAACCATGTTGTTATAATTTATAACCAACCGTTGTTTGTATAAAACTTCGATTTTTAATCAATATTGGATATTGAAGTTGATATTGATACCAATATTGATATTAAATATTAATTTCATGTTTTATAAAATGCTCTCAATAGATACTGTATGATGCTATCCAAATTAATCAATTTAGTAAATTAGTTATTTAACCGATCAATTAATCATTTTAAAAATTTAATTTTTGTTTTGACAAGATTTTAACCCAATTAAACTATTTTATAAAAACTTGAGAAATTTAAATTATTATAAGAAAAAAAAATATTGGTAATAATAAAGAAAATGAAACCCTTCGCAAATAACAAATCACTTATAGGTATGTTGAAAATGGAGTATTAGCTGCTGTAAGTTTTAAGATAATTTTAATAATAGCCACTATTATATAGTAATTTAATTATTAATTTAAATATTTTCATAATAAATTAATTTTTTTTAAAAAAATAGCACAAAATGGTACGGTAAGGGAGAAAGTTTATAACTAAATAAAAATGTATAATTCCTTATTTAGGCAGGATTATTATATAATTTTCATTTTTTCTATTAATAGAATTGAGCTTCTGATTAAATTTGATCTGCATATTTATTGAGTAACAGTGTTGAGTAACACTTAAAAAGTAATGGCGTACATGATTTCCAATTCGATTTGTGACACGGAAATTTTGTAACAATCATCACATATTTATGTAACTGTTTTGATGTCGCCTCTATAAAATAATTAACGTTCATTACGCCGATTTTTTTTTTTTAAAAAAAAATCCTTAATCATGTCATCTCAAAATGATATTATATGCGAAAGTTGTGGTAAAATATATTCATATATAGGTGAAAAATGGTGTAAGCCATGTTTAATAAATAATTTAAAAAAAAATTTTACAAACTGGACTAGTGGAAATGAAAAAATTGATAAAATTATTCAAGAAATACAATCAAAGATTAATAAAGAGGAAGATATAATTGTTGAATGGATACCTTATAACCAATTCAATAGTATTAAAAAATTAATCAAAGATGATTTTGCTACAGCAATATGGAAGGATGGCTCATTAATATATATTAAACAAGATAGGAAACGTGAAAGAGTACCTAATAAAGAAGTTACTTTAAAATACTTGAATAATTCGCAAGATGTTATTAATGATTTGCTGAATGAGGTATGAAACTTCTAATTTTTTCAGTATTTAATCTTTAAAAAATGTTTTTTTATAACAACATTTTTATATTTAACAGATTAAAGCATATTCTATTAGAGTTGACGAATGTAAGATTCCTAAAATACATGGAATATCCCAAAATCCAGATACAAAAGATTACGTTATAGTGTTTCAAAATGATTGTAATTGCAAAGAATGTGGTGATATATATACAGATATAGAGGTTAAATGGTGTAAACCATGTCAAATAAATAATATGAAACAAAACTTGGCAAATTGGACCAGCGGCAATGAAAAAATTGATGAATTTATTCAAGAAATCCAATTGAATATTGAAAAAGATGATATAATTATTGAATGGATACCTTATAACCAATTTAGTGATATTAAAGAAATAAAAAAAGATGATTCGGCTAGTGTATATTCGGCAATATGGAAGAATGGTTTATTAAAATATAATTATGAAGAAAGGAAATATAAAAGAAATCCTAATAAAAATGTCACTTTAATGCGTTTTAATAATTCACAAAATATTATTAATGACTTTCTAAATGAGGTATGAAACTTCCAATTTTTTGTAATAAATTTTTAAAAATATATTATAACAACTTTTTATATTTAACAGATTAAAGCATATTCATTTAAATTAAATGAATATACAATGTGTGGAATATCCCAAAATCCTGATACGAATGATTATGTTATAGTGTTTCAAAATGATTGTAATTGCAAAGAACGTGGTGATGTAGATACAGATAAAAAATTTGAATGGTGTAGACCATGTCAAATAAGTAATTTAAAACAGAATTTTTCAAGCTGGACTAGTGGAAATAATGAAATTGATAATTTTATTCAAGAAATGCAATTAAAAATTGAAAGTCATAATGATATAATAGTTGAATGGATACCTTATAACCAATTTAGTATTATTGAAGAAATAAGCAATGGTGATTTTGCAAGAGTATATTTGGCAAAATGGAAGAATGGTTTACTAGAGTATAAAGAAGGAAAATATAAAAGAAATCCTAGTAAAGAAGTTACTTTAAAATGCTTAAATAATTCACAAAATGTTATTGATAACTTGCTAAATAAGGTATGAAACTTCTAAATTTTTGTACTTAATCTTTATAAATACTTTTAATATACCAACTTTTTTATGTAACAGGTTAAATCATATTCTATTAAAATAAATGAAGGTAACATTGCTAAAATATATGGAATATCCCAAAATCCAGATACAAAAGATTATGTTATAGTATTACCAACTGATTGTAATTGCAAAAAATGTGGTGAAATATATACTAATATACTTGTTAAATGGTGTAAACCATGCCAAATTAATAATTTAAAACAAGATTTTGTAAACTGGACTAGTGGAAATGAAGCAATCGATAATTTTATTCAAAAAATGCAATTAAAAATTGAAAGATATAATGATATGGTTGTTAAATGGATACCATATAACCAATTTAATATTATTCAAGAAATAGGTAAAGGTGGATTTGCTACAGTTTACTTAGCAACTTGGAATTATAGGAAAGTTGCTTTAAAATGCTTGCATAATTCCCAAAATATTACTAATGAATTTTTAAATGAGGTATGAAATAATTTATTTTTTTTAAGCTTTATTAAATACTTTTAAAATGATGAATAATGATATTTTTATTTTTAATAGATTAGTGCATATTCTATTCATTCTGTTGATTGTATTCTCAAAATATGTGGAATATCTCAAAATCCGGATACAAAAGACTATATTATTGTACTTGAATATGCAAATGGGGGAAGTCTTAATAATCACAATAATGATATTATTAGGGATTACAATTGGAGGGAAAAATTGTATGTGCTAAGTGATATTATTAAAGGTCTTAAAAAAATTCATGAAAATAAAGCAGTTCATCGTGATTTTCATACAGGAAATGTATTGGTATTATTTATTGATTGTGCTCGATATAATGGATCTGGAAATACTGCAAGTAATATATATATTTCAGATATGGGATTTTGTGGAGAAGTTAGTAATATAGATAAAACAAAAATTTATGGAGTTATGCCATTTGTAGCTCCTGAAGTATTAAGAGGAAAGCCATATACTCAAGCAGCAGATGTATATAGTTTTGGTATGATTATGTATTATATTGCAACTGGAAAACAACCTTTTGCCAAGTGTGCACATGATAATGTTTTAGCATTAAATATATGTAATGGAATTAGGCCTGAAATAAATGAGCAAGAAGCACCAAAATTTTATATTAATCTAATGAAAATGTGTTGGGATCCAAATCCAGATAATAGACCTAGTGCATCTGAAGTGGATGAAGTTTTTGCATATTCTAGTTTAGGTATATTTGAGGAATTTAATAAGCAAATTAAAGAAGCAGATGAATATAGAAAAACAAATTTTTTATCTATTGAAAATAGTCAATCAATTCATCCACAAGCTTATTATACTTCTCGATTGCTCAATCCATTTACAAAAGATCTTTCAAATGATTATACTGATTGTTTGGACTGTAATATTAATGATTGAACTAAAGTTAGTATAATTAGTGTTATTTATTTTTATTGTTTCAGTCAAATAGTTTAAAAAAAAGTAATTACTATATTTTATTGAATGTTGATATACATGATAACATTTGATAATATCTACTAATATATTTATTGTTTTATTATTTTATTTTTATATCATTATTTGTAAGAATTCTTTGTCATGCTTGTAATGATGGTAAATCTTCCACACATCCATATTTATGAAACTCCAACAAAGTTTTAGAAACAGTAGATTTGCCAATATTAAGTTGTCCACCTGACATTCTACATGAGGATTTTAAAATTTTATTTATTATATTAGTATAACATGAAATATGAAAGGTGTCTGTTCTTTTTTTTTGTGCGACATCCATTTTAGAACACAAACTTGTCGATCAAACTCCTTATTTTATATAGGATGCAACAAATTTAAGCTTACTATTATATTAACAAGTTTTATAATTAGGATTTAAGAAATTATTATTTTTTTTTTCTTTATTGATTGATGTTATTGTATTTTGTTCAACACTAATTATGGAGTATATGTAATTTTTTTACATAAGTAAAATTAGTTTGTAATTGAACGAATAAATATAAGATTTGAAAATATAAACTTATGGTGATTAGACCTGGGTCGAAAACAATATAATCTAAGTAAAAAATCATGTTACTTTCAATATGTATTGTACCTGGTTTGCATGATGCTTATTTACAAAATCTAATTGGACGGTGTGAATATTAACTTTGAATAGTAAATTCATTATAAATTGAGTTATAAATATTTTTTGTTCATTGCCTTTTGTGTTCATTTATTATTAACATTTAACATTTAAATCGCAAATAAATGTATTATAAATGTTTCTAATAGCTCATTAAATTTTAGTTTCTGAATAAAGAAATAAACCAACTTGATTCTATTTATAATGTATTATCCCAAGCATATAATATATAAAAAATGAATAAATATATTATATGTCCAGTAATTAATTCCCAATATCAATATTATGAAATTATAAATTTGACAAATCTTTTTTTAAATGATAAAAAATTGATTGCAAGCTCACGAACTTCATTTTGATGTCCTGATTTATTCTTATCACTTCATACATAATTCACTAAAAAATATTGTCAAATTCAAGTCCACCATTATTACTTTGTTTTATTATTTCAAACCTTTCATAGTACCAAAAAGAAATTTTAGAAAATTTATAATTAAAAATATAATTTTTCGGGTTGAACCAAAAAAAATTAAAAAGTTGTTTTTTTTTTTTTGGCCTAAAAAAAAAAAGAATTGGAAAAATAAAAAAAATATTAAAAATCAAAAATTTCAGTCTATAAGAAACGGTAAGTTTAAAAAAAAAAAAAAATAATAACCGGGATAGCTTCATCAATGCGATCTGCTGCGGCTCACGTCATTGGTTCAGGTACGCGCACATGACCATAATAACCTCTGGCGCAGAAACATCAAGGAGATAAATAGTACTACTATTAAAAGAGTCCATATATAGTAAAATTATTGATTTAAATGGATTAAATGGATTGACTCAACTTTTAAAAAGATGGCATAAGAAATTTGCAATTATGTAAATTTGGTGACTCAAATCTGTGGCTTTGTAATACTAATAAAAAGGATCTTTATAATATCAAATTTCTTTTTTTTTTTCAAACAACATTACAATATTTTGAAATATGTCACATCTTGTTGAAGATTGTCTTAGGATTATTTTTACTAAATTGCAATATGATTCAAATTCTTTATATTCATGTATTTTGGTGAATAGTCTTTGGTGTATGATAGGAGTACAAATATTATGGAAAAATCCTTATGAGACTCTTAATAATCGTAATCAATATAATAAATTTTTTAACACAATAATTTACTTATTACCAGCATCTTCAAAGAAATTATTAAATGAAAATAATGTTGTTACACTTTCGATTCCTTTTTCAACAAACAAACCATTATTCAATTACATTAGTTTTTCTTCCAAAATTTCATCAGAACTTATATATAATATGGGGCTTGCATTAATTAATGAAGTACTTAATTCTTATGAATATCAGGAAAAGTATAAAATATTGGAACAAGAAATTTACAAATTATTGATTAGTAATTGCAAAAATATAACAGACTTTAATTGGTTTACAACATTGCCTTTATATCAATATCCTGGGGCATCAACTTTCTTTTCTCAGCTGCGTACCCTTGATATTGAATGTAATCAAAGTTTGGATTCAGAAAAACTGTTAGGAATGGCACAAATTTGTCAAAATATCGAAATTTTGAAAATATGGTATTATGGAAGGGACATTCCAGGATTAATTTTTTACGCTCAAATTTCTGTATAATAGCTCTATGCAGGGTTATTAATAAGGTCATTCAATTAAAATAACTAACCTATTTTTCATTTCTAGTAGATTCATTATATTTTCTTCGACTGATACACTAGTTTACATAATTATATTGACATCTGAAGAATCCACTTGCTTTACATTCACGTTTATCTAATATTATATTTAAGGATTAATATTTTTTTCGCATATGCGATATATCGCTCATCCCTTTTTTGATAACAAGTTAACGGTAAATGTAAAATAAGAGGGAGCTCTTATTTTTTTGAATTATATTTAATATAAAGGATTTACTTTTGATTTTAAAATAAAAATTTTTGAATGTTTTACATAACATAAATTGTAATTTTATTATGTATAGGCGCGTTCTCACCTATTATATAATGTTCAATATAAGCCCATAGGTGTATGACGTGGATAGTTAGTTTTGGATAATATTCCCTATACTTTTTACACTAAATTGTTATATTATAAAAAAAATCGATATATTTAATATATATACTATCAGCTAAATTTATTGATTGGTCAAATATTTGAACGTTAAAACTTTCTTAGAAAATTCATGTGATAAACTAATTAATTTTCTTTTATTGGCGGATTTTCATAATAATTATTAGTACCTTTAGCCTTTAGGTAATAATAATTTTTTATATATTTCATTCGCTAGTTTACTTTCGGATATAGTGAGTGAGTTTATTTTTAAAAGTATACTAATACTATTGTACTAATAAATTAATAAAAGATTTTTTATAACAAGATTGTGTTTAGATTTATAAAAAAAATTTATGAGATTTTTTTTTTTTTAATAACAATAGTTTGGTATAAAAAAATTTCTAGGATTTTTTTTTTAATAACAATAATCGGTATGGTACAATAGGGTTACCATATAATATTAAAGTCTAATTAAAAAAAAATTGTCATATTTATATAATTTGGATTGTGTAACATTGAAAGTGTGATATTCTTGCGTCCGATCTATTTCGTATTTATTATATCATAATTTGGTTGACTTTCCTGACTACGATAATCGATCTTTAAACCAATACATTTCCGGTTAATTGAAATTTTAACTGGATTTCTGATGGATTAATACTAACCAAAAAAAGTATAATTTTTCTTATTAATTGCATTTTATTTGCGGTCATTTCTGCCACGACTCTAATAATAATTTTTTTTTTGTTATTTTTCGGTTTTTACTGTAAAGACTGAAACTACCTTTTTAGTCTTTTTTTTTTATTAATTTTTTTATCCCTCATTTTATTATTATTCTTTCTTTCGGTTAACTTGGTTTGGGTCAAGACTATAATCAGATTAGAACTATGTCCTACGGCTTTTTCGATGTTTTAGTGAGATTTTTTTTAGTCAATGATAATGTTTCTGACTAATAAATTCGCGTGAAAATTTTTTTTAGTGAGAATTTTTTTGTTTATGAGATTGTTTTTTTTCAATATTATTTCCCCAACTAATAAATTTGCGTGAAAATTTTTTTTTGATATTAACGAATTTTTTTTAGTAAGATTGTTTTTAATTATACAGATATATAGTAACCATATTAATAATTTTTGTAATTAAATCATAATAAATTTTTTGATGATAAATTTATTAAAAAACTTCGTAAAATCAGCAATCTTCAGTACCACACTCTTAGAAAAGAGAAGGTGACTTTAAACATGCTTGGATATATGTTTAAATTTGAAATTTCCAAAAATAGAGGAGGGGAGTAAAAGTTAATTTGGAACGGACTAACGAAAATATATTATTCAATTTACTTAGAAAAAGTACAAATACAAATATCTATTAGATCTATGTCTTATAGCAAGATTTGTTTATTTTTTTCATAGTATCGTACTTTAAATATTATTTTTACATTTTCATGATTATCAGGTTATTACAATAAAATTATTTCGTTAACAAAGTGAAACGCAATTTCTTAAAATTAAAATTATGTTGTCGAAAATTTCGAGTCCATCCATATCATGTGACTTCCAATTACTAATGACAAAAAGAATATGCATGAAGTCATTGATCGTCAATATATTTATCATTTATTTATTTATTTGTACCTCTTTTTTCATTTTTCTTTCTTAAAATGACTTCATTTTTTTATCCCAATCTTTCGAAAGATTTTTCCTTAATTTTAAATGATGCTGATGATTATAATGTTATTATTAAAGTTGGAGAAAATGAAAATACAAAAGAATTTCGTGCTCATTCAGTAATTTTACGTGCTCGTTCTCCTTATTTCAAAAGTGCTCTTTCATCTAATTGGATCACAAAGAAAAATGATATGATCATGTTTAAAAAAACGAACATTACACCAAATATTTTTAACTTAATTTTAAGGTATGAATAATTTTTCATTTTTTTTTTAATTATTCTTATCAAATTAAATTAAATAATTTATTCATTAAAAAAAAATGTAATAATAATATAATTAGATATATTTACGTTGGCGAACTTGATTTAACTGGACAATCTAGTAAAGATATTCTTGAATTATTAATCGCATCGGACGAATTACTTATTGGAGAGTTATTTAATTATGTTCAAGATTATTTAATTGAAAAACGAATTGAGTGGATTCTTAAAAATTTATTTCTTGTTTTACATATTGCGTTTAAAATCACTGATTGCAAGAAATTACAAGATTATTGTATTGATATTATTTGTGAAGATACACATTTATTTATTACTTCAAACGAATTTCTTTCTCTAGATAAAGATATTATTTATAAAATACTTGAAAGAGATGACTTACGAATTAAAGAAGTCATCGTTTGGGATCGCTTAATTAAATGGGGTATTGAACAGACTCCTGGTTTGGGAAATGAGAATTGCTATGTAAACTTGCATCACTTAATTAAATGGGGTATTGAGCAAACTCCTGTTTCGGAAAATGAGAAGTGCGATATAAGCAAATGGTGCAATGAAGATTATGAAGCATTAAAGGAAATATTAAATCAATTTATTCTTCTCGTTCGATTTGTAGAAATAACTTCTGATGATTTTAATAATAAAGTCAAACCATATAAGAATATTATTCCTAATCACATTTATGAAGAAATCGAAGAATTTTATAATAAAGGTACCTTTCCAAAAATAAATACTTTACCACCTAGAATAGGAAAACTTGATTCAAAAATTATCAACCCAAAACTCGCAAAAATAATTATCAAATGGATTGTTAAAGAAGATTTCTGGATTTTACGTTATAAATTTAATCTTATGTATCGTGGTAGTATTGATGGTATTAGTTATGAAACATTTAAAAATAAATGTAAAGGTCAAATGGAAAGTTTGGTTTTAATTAAAGTTAAACATACAAATAAAATATTTGGTGGATATAGTTCTATTGGGTTTAATTCCATTGGAAATAATGTTCCAAGTCTTAATGGTTTTGATAATACAAAGTATTATTATTCATCGGATAATTTTATTTTTTCATTTGAAAATGATGATGATACTCAAAATATGAAAATAAGTCGTGTGAGAAATTATAATAAGGCTATATACGATTATTATGGTACTGGATTTGATTTTGGTTTTGATTCATTGTTTATGTATCATAATCAATGTTTGTATGCTAAAAATGATAGTAAAATTTACGAAGATAATTTAAATACAAATTCAGTTTATGAGATTGAAGAAATCGAAACATTCATTGTAACTAAACAATAATTTCAATATTTACTATGTAATTTACTTAATTAAAAGATTGGTTTAATTACGTGTGTATATATAGTAAGCAAATTATTCATTGTTAACTTGTATTTTCTTACCTTTATTTTACTCTTAATAATTTTATTTTTCTTTTCATTTTTAACATTACAATTGAATATAATGCTTATTCAAATCTGAAAACAAAAAAAGTACAAAAGAATATCATACATATTCAGTTATTTTACATCATCTCTTATGATCTTAAGACTTGTTAATAAATTAATGTCAATTTCAGCCTGCACTATAGTAATGATTTTGCCAACTTTACTGAGCATGATTGTCAATTAATTTCGCTATTCTCGTAAAACTTGATTTCATGTTAGTTTAATTTGATAAATTTCTTTGAATTTATGAATAATTTAAATTTAATCAAATAGTAAATTGACCAATTAACTTGAAACAAATTTGCCAGAATAATATTTAGCATTGGCATAGTTTTGTATTTCGATTAAATTCACTGTTCATGCAAAGAATATTTTTATAGCGTAAATTACTGTTCAATTATATTATAATAAAGATTCATACTATATTTATATTATAACTCATCATATTAGCGTATAAATTTGTCCCATATAGGCGACATAAACAATGAACTAAATTACTTTTACAACCTAACCTTTAATAATAAAAAAATGACACATAAGTACAATATAACTACTATGGAAAAGCCAAGAAATTATTTGTAACTTCTATGAAAGAATTTATACATTAAATAATATTTTTTAAAAGCTCGGAATTACTTAGATTTTGGTATACATAATTTTAAAATATTAAATAATAATAATACCTTTAAAATATTTTAATATTTGCTCACTTGACTGAAATATAACCTTACGGTAAAAGTTAGAGATTGTTAAATTGTTCCGCGTCAGTTGAATTTATCTGTATAATCACAAGAAATTGCATAATTGTTAAATAATTTTTTAAAAAAAAAAATTTTAATTCAAAATCGTGACATCCAAATACGATTTTATTGAATGTAAATACTGTGGTAATTTATATATAATTAGTCGATTCAAATGGTACAAACCATGCCAAATAGATAATTTAAGACATATGTTTAAAACTGGGCCAGCGGAAACGAAAAAACTGATAAATCAATTCAGGAAATAACAATTTTACGCAGGTGCGTTGCAACGCACCCACAAATTATTAAATAGTAAATTTGCTGATCATAACGTGATCATAAATGATCGACAAATTACTATTTAAAAATTTCCAAAAAAGGGGTGCGTTCAAACGCCGGTGCGTTCAAATTTTAAACCCTTAATAATTAATAGATTTGATAATATAATAGACCAGTTTAAATATATTAAAGAAATGGACAGAAATGATTCCACTGCACTATATTCAGCAATATGGCCATTAGAATATGAATACAAAATGAAATAGGAAAGAGTGCCTAATAAATGCGTATATATAATTCACAAAATATTATCAATGAATTTTAAGTGAGGTAAGAAAATTTTAATTTTTTGTAATTTAAATTTAGTACTGTCAAAAGTACGCAATAATAACTATAACTAAAAAGACTTCTTTTGAACTCTTTCTGTCTATTTTTTCGTCCTGAAATTTTCGGACTAATGATCGACAGGAAAGAATTGTGAATTTTTTTTTTTTTTATTAATTTTATAAATATTGCGTCATAAATTTCATAAATTATCTTATTTTTCCAGATGTGGACATTTATAAGCGTAGTAATACTATCACACAGTTAAACCGAATGGTTTTGCAAACAAATATTATAATAAAAATATTTAAACAACAAAGATTACTATGTACATGAAACAAATTATCAGTTACGATTAAAATTATATTATATTATCAGTTACGATTATAATAAGTATAAAAATAAGAAAAATAGGCAATTTCTCAATGTGATTTAAGTTGTCATTGATTGATCATTGACCAACATCCGTCATCCGGGTAATCCGGCGTAAAAATTTTGTTACACAATGCATTAATAAATGATGTACATCCGAAAAATTCCGTATACTTAATAGGGTTAAAAAAATTATTCTTAGATATTCAAATTCATTTGTAATTTATAAAAGTTATGTACCCTTTTAACAAAGTTATCAAAAAGCTAATTAAGTCATCACATGTTAAGGAATATAAAATATGTGATAAATGTAATTATATATGTGATGCAAAACTTTTTCAACAAAATTTTGGAAATTGGACTAGTGGTAATAATGAAATTGATAAATTTATTCAAGATACTCAGCTTTCAGCTCATAATGATGTGAAGAAAGCATTAGAATGGATACCTCATAATAGATTATACAATATTAAATATATTGCAAAAAATGAGTTTGGCAAAAAATATAGAGCAAATTGGATTGATGGAAATATAAATAATCGGAATGTTGTAAATCAAATTTGGGAAAGAATAAATTATAATATGTTTGTAATTCTGGTAAGCTTAAATAATTTAAAAAATCTTACACAAGAATTTAAAAATAAGGTATGATAAACTTATTTAGTAAAATTTTAAAATTTTGAATATTTTGGTTTTTACTAATATTACTATCTTTTACAGATTAAAATAGAATGTGAATTTTATGGAATAACTCAAGATCCAGAAACAAAAAATTATATAATGGTTTTAAATAATAAATGTAAAAAGTGTAATAGTGGTATATGTAACATAATATACTTTCAACATAAATTCATAGATTGGACTAGTGGTAATAATGATATTGATAAATTTATTCAAGATACTCAGCTATCAGTTCATAAAGATAGTGAAATGTCACATGCATTAGAATGGATACCTTATAGTAGATTGGATGATATTAAATATGTTGCAGAAGGTGGTTTTGGCAAAGTGTATAGGGCAAATTGGATTGATGGTTATATGGCTAATTGGAATAGTGAAAATCAAGATTGGAAAAGAAAAGGTTATAATATGTTTGTGATTTTGAAGAGTTTGAATATTCTAAAAAATCTTATATTAGAAATTGTAAATGAGGTGAGGTATAAACTTCAGTTATTACTTAACAAAATTATAAAAATTTTATTTACTAATACATTATTACATTTGTAGATTAAAATTGAACATGAAATTTATGGAATAACGCAAGATCCAGAAACAAAAAATTACATGATGGTTCTGAATAATAAATGTAAAATATGTAAAAGTATATGCTATGCAATATACTTTCAATATAAATTCATAGATTGGACAAGTGGTAATAATGATATTGATAAATTTATTCAAAATACTCAGCTATCAGTTCATAAAGATAGTGAAATGTCACATGCATTAGAATGGATACCTTATGGTAGATTTGAAGATATTAAATATATTGCAGAGGGTGGTTTTAGCAAAGTGTATAGGGCAAATTGGATTGATGGTTGTATAACTAATTGGAATAGTGAAAATCAAAATTGGAAAAGATATGGAAATAGAGATGTAATTCTCAAAGGTTTAAATAATTTAAAGATTATTACAAAATTTACAAATAATGAGGTGCAGTATAATAAATTTAATACCAATAACATTTTAAAGTTTTTAATTTTTACTAATATATTCGTATTTGTAGGTCAATATATCTTTTGGAATAACTCAAGATCCAGAAACAAAAAATTATATGATGGTTTTGAATAATAAATTTAAAATATGTAAAACATGCAATGGTATATGTCATGCAATATACTTTCAATATAAATTCATGGATTGGACAAGTGGTAATAATGATATTGATAAATTTATTCAAGATATTCAGAAATCAGCTCATTATAATGTAGAGAAAGCATTAGAATGGATACCTTATGATAGATTGTATGATATTAAATATATTGCAAAAGATGGTTTTGGCAAAGTGTATAGGGCAAATTGGATTGATGGTTATATGGTTTATTGGAATAGTGAAAATCAAAATTGGTTAAGAAAATGTTATAATATGTATGTGATTTTGAAGAATTTAAATACTTCAAAAAATCTTATATTAGGATTCGTAAATAAGGTAATAAGCTTCAGTTATTACTTAACAAAATTATAACATTTTATTTACTAATATATTATTGCATTTGTAGATTAAAATTGAACATGAATTTTATGGAATAACGCAAGATCCAGAAACAAAAAATTACATGATGGTTCTGAATAATAAATGTAAAATGTGTAAAGGTATATGTTATGCAATACACTTTCAACATAAATTCATGGATTGGACTAGTGGTAATAATGATATTGATAAATTTATTCAAGATACTCAGAAATCAGTTCATAAAGATAGTGAAATATCACATGCATTAGAATGGATACCTTATGATAGATTGTATGATATTGAATATATTGCAAAAGGTGGTTTTGGCAAAGTGTTTAGGGCAACTTGGATTGATAGTTTTATAACTAATTGGAATAGTGAAAATCAAAATTGGAAAAGATATAATGAAAATATGTTTGTAGCTCTGAAAAGTTTAGATAATTCAAAAAATGTTACATCAGAATTTATGAATGAGGTATAATTTGATTAATTAATTATTTTTTTTTTTTTTGATCATAATACTTAGATTGTTTGCTTTACTAATATATTTTGTATTTTTGCATTTACATCATAGATTATGCTGCATAATAAAGTAAAAATAGATAATAATGTAATTGTTAGATTTTATGGAATAACTCAGGATCCAAAAACAAAAAATTATATGATGGTTCTAGATTATGCAGAAGATGGAAGTTTACGAAATTATTTAGATAAGGAATATAAGCTTAATTGGGATATAATGTTTGAATATTTACAAAATATTATTGTTGGACTTAAATGTATTCATGAAAAGGAATTTATTCATCGAGATTTGCATATTGGGAATATATTAAAGTTTAAATATAAAACTGCTATAACTGATTTGGGATTATGTAAACCTGCAAATTTAGAAAATGCAAAAACCAACATATATGGTGTTTTACCTTATATAGCACCTGAAATTTTAAGGGGACAAAATTATACCAAAGCTGGTGATATTTATAGTTTTGGCATAATAATGTATGAAGTGATTTCCGGATTACCCCATATCATGATTTAAAACATGATAATAATTTAGCAATAAAAATTTGTAAAGGACTTAGACCAAGATTTAACATTAAAGTACCACAATTAATTGTGCATTTAATTAAAAGATGTTTAGATGCCAATCCATTAAATCGACCAATAGCAAAAGAAATAATTGATATTTTATTTAGATGGCAATATGAATCTAGCAATGAACAAACAATAGAATTACGAGCACAAATTAAAGAAGCCGATGAAATAAACAATAATTCGCCGAGTAGCAGTATACTTACTTCAACTAATTTAGGAATATCATATAATACACATTCAGAAGCTATTTATACAAGTAGATTACTCGATTTTAATAATCTTCCTGTACCAAAAAATTCTGACGATTATTATGAACAAAATAATAATATAATTAGCGAGGAATTTTCAGGTATCATTTAATAATTTTATTATTTAAAACACAAATCAGTCTTTAAAGATATTAATAAAACTTTTTATTAAATAGAGTCTTTACAAATTGATATTTCTCAATTGAATATTAATTAAGATGCAAGTTTTAATTCTTATGGCTGGTCGATGATTAATATTATTCGATATATTGTTCTATTTTTTTTTTTAGGTTCAAAATATCGAATTTAATAAGCACAGTAAAAGCTTTTAGCGCATTTCCTGAACCACTGTTAGTTACTAGTTACAAATATTACAAATACTATTGTATGTATCATTAGTATATATAGATTTTAGATTTTACTAATTTTTTTAAAAAAACTGTTTTTTTTTTATATTAATCATTACAATATAAAACCTGTCTCTTATACACATCTAGATGTGTATAAGAGACAGCCTTATGATAGATTGTATGATATTGAATATATTGNGCATTTCCTGAACCACTGTTAGTTACTAGTTACAAATATTACAAATACTATTGTATGTATCATTAGTATATATAGATTTTAGATTTTACTAATTTTTTTAAAAAAACTGTTACTTTTCTTCATTAATTAGAAGGGCAATTTTTTTTTATAGCTAAATTAGTGGGAATCACGATAAACAGAGTTTAAATTTTAACGATCTAAATTATATATGTATTTATTTTATTTTATTGGTTAAATAAATTATTAAAATTTAAGCAAATACAGGATTTTAAAAAATGGAAATTTCTTAATTAATAAATTTGGTACAATTTGAAGTCTTTTAAATTATAATTAGTTTATAGCAGATTTTATACACATTTAAATAATGGCAAGATAAAATTTTCAGATTCTATATGAAATTATTTTATTAATCTTTATTTAATATCAAGAAATATATAAAAATACAAAACGCATATTTTCCCGTCCTAACAAAACCACTGACTAAAAGTATGAATTCTTTTTTAATGAAAGATCAAAAGTAAATAATATTGCTGTGAATTTTTCTTGTGCTATACAATTCAACAACTGAATATTCCAATTGTAAATAAAAAACATGATAATTAAACTTAATTTTGAGCGATCCAGACAATTTTTGATAAACATTTAGAATTTATAAAATATTATTTGCTCTAGAAATTTTGTATAAAAACAAATCGTTATAATCCTTCCCAAAAAACTGATCTAAATTGAATATTCAGTTTCAGTTTCTCAGTTTATGATAATACATTATAAAATGTTTTTTACTCATCTGATAATTCAAAATCAAAATTTATTTTGTTCAATCTTATCATAATTTTAGGAATCTATTGATAATATTACTAAAGTATTTAAAACTGTATAATAAAATTTTAATGTATGACCAGGAAAATTCTTTTACTCGACGTAGTGTTATATAAATGGATGATCCGGATGACCGATCCGTAAATAACGGATGATCCGGATAACCATAATGATCCGTTACTATAAAATAATACTAATCAAACGGATGGATCCGGCAGAAATAGCAGATGACTATCTCCGGGGTGGTTTCGAATCGGACAAATCCGCGGATTGGCGAATTGACGGATCGCAACACTAACTCGACTCGACGAGAGCAATAAGACTCGTTCCAATGATAGATCCAAGAACCACTGCAAGTCCACCTTTTGAGATGAACGTTATCTGGATTAGCTTATATCATAGGAGTACTATTCGAATTTACAGAATCAGTTGGTATTCTCCTATTTAAATTTCAATTTATATAAATTTTTGATTTATTATCATTTTTTTTTTTTGAAGGATTTAAAATTAAAAAAATTCAAATTATTATAATCATCTATACCGTTTATACAAAGATTAGATGCTTTATTCTGTTAAGAAAAATAATAGAATCGACTTATAAATTGCTTATTAATAAAATAAGCATTAATTTAATTGTAAAAAAATTTTACCATTTTCGAAATGAAGTAATGTATGATATTGTATTCACTGTCAAATCAGCGGAATTTGATTGGGTATTACATTTAGCACAATCGATGCTAAACTTTGATTATAATCACTAGCACTTTTAATATTAAAAAGAAATATAATAAATCGAAATTGATCAATTGATCGATAAAAATGAAGAACTTATAAAAATTATTTAAAAAAAATTAAATACAATACTGGGGTTTCTACGTTCATTTTCAATAACTACGGTATTATTTAATAAAGAAGATCCAGATCACGCTTATTTCGATTAAAAAAAATATATGTATTTACTGTATTTACCAAGTGTTCAATAAAATTATTCAAACGGTCAAAACTCATAAAAACCAGTATAGATTGTGTTAACAGAAAAATTTCGTGATAATCTAGTTTATTATTATTAAGATTTATTGTATAAATAGGAATTTTACAGTTTTTAAAATTGAATTTAAATATTTTTATTATTTTATAAGAAATAATGAAACATGATAAAGTACAGCTCTATAAATTACTGTAACTTAGGCATAACCAGAAAATATTTGAACTCAATAATTGGGTAGATCAGACTTACGGAGAACATGATAATACATAGTGAAAAAGCTAAATAATAAGAAGGTTTTGTAGAATAATAAAGAACTTTATCAATACATCTCTGAATTTGGAATATGAGCGATATGTTTATCTTAATAGTTAATGTAAGAAAATGAAATATTAACTTTTTTTTTTTGATTGAGTATACTTTTACTGTGCATGAAAATAGTGGATAAATTATATTTTCCCGTACAAATCCCCTTAACATATACATCGCAATTTCTGAACCGTTTCCGGCGTCTTATTTTTTTCATTATAAAATGTAGTAATATCACACGAGTTAAACAAATGGTTTTGTAAAACCAATTCAATATATTTAAACAATAAATGCAATATACCACGACATTGTGATATTTTTTTTAAGAGAAGTGTCATAAATATTGGCGTTTAATAATCGTAATTTATTACTTTATATATTAAGTAACTTTACGGCTTAGAATTAAAACAAAGTTATCTAATTAGTAATAAAATCGGCGACAATTGTTACAAATTTATAACATGTAGTATATTATCTCTATTGAATAAACGAAACCAAAAAAAAATCAAAATACACCAAATGATTTTCTAACTTAAATTAAAATTAGAAACTTTTACTTGACTATCACTTACATTTATTATCATAATACTTAAGAATATTATCAAGAATAAAAATGAAAACTAAAAAAAATGAAATAAATGGTATTCTTATTTTGTTTAAATGTATATATTAATTAGGTTTAACCAATAAATTGATTTGATCAAAACTGTTTTTCTTCTTTATTGGCCTACATTATGATTCTATTAAATTCATATATATTAATACTTTTCTAAATGAACTCACTAAAAATACAACAATTAACGTGATGATATTAATTTTATTTATTAAATAAATCCTTTAGTTATAATAAATGTTTCGATTTCTTCAATACCGTAAATTTCTTCTGTGTTTAAATTATTTCCATAATTATGAGAATTGTTATTGGCATATAATTTATATCCATTAAGTGGTGCCATAAACAATGAATCAAACCCAAAATCAAATCCAGTTTCATCATAATCGTATATAGCTTTATCGTAATTTATCACACGACTTAATTTCATATTCTCGGTATCTTTACTGCTTTCAAATGAAAAAATAAAGTTATCTGACGAATAATAATACTTTGAATTATCAAAACCGTCAAAATTTGGAACATTTTCTCCGATTGAGTGAAACCCAATAGAACTATATCCACCAAAGATTTTATTTGTTTGTTTTGTTTTAATTAAAACTAAACTTTCTACTTGACCTTTACATTTATTTTTAAATGATTCAGTACTAATACCATCAATACTACCACGATAAATAAGGTCGAACTTGTAACAAGAAGTAAAGAAATTTTTTTTATCAATCCAATTAATAATTATCTTTGCAAGTTTAGGTTCGATAATCTTTGAATCAAGTTTTCCTATTCTAGGTGATAAATTTAATGTTGTCGGTAAAGTATCTTTGGTATCTTTATAATAAAAACTTTCAATTTCTTCATAAATTTGATTAGGAATAATATCTTTATATGTTCTGATTTTATAATTAAAATCATCAGGATCAATTTCCATAAATCGAATGAGAGGAATAAATTCATTTAACGTTTCCTTTAATGCTTCATAATCTTCATTATTCCATTTATTACTATCACAATTCTCACTTCCTAAACCAGGAGTTTGTTCGATACCCCATTTAATTAAATGATCCCAAGCAACAATTTCTTTAATCAATAAGTCATCTCGCTTAAGCAAGTCATAAAGAATATCTTTGTCTAGTTTGATAAAGCTATCTGAAGAAATTAATAACTCTGGATCAAAACAAATGGTTTCAAGACAATGATTCCGTAGGATCTTGCAACTTTCAAGGTTCTGTACAATATTAAGGATAAGAACGAAATTTTTTTTAATCCAATTTTGTCTTTGTTCGATCAAGTATTCTAGTAAAAATGAAACTAATTCTTCAAGAAGCAACTCATCAGATGCGATTAAAAGTCTAAAAATATCTTCACTTAGTTGTTCTTCCAAATTAAGTTCACCTGTATAAATATATCTTAATAGTATAGAATAATTTACAATATATATTTATATTTTTTTTTGAATAAATAAATAATTTATTAATAAATTAAAATTAAATTAAATTAGATTATTTAGGAATAAAAATATTTTTACCTTAAAATCATTTCAAAAACATTTGGTTTGATATTTGGTTTATTAAATATAATCATGTCATTCTTTTTTGTAATCCAAGAGGATGAAAGAGCACCTTTGAAATAAGATGAACGAGCACGTAAAATTACTGAGTGTACACGAAATTCTTTTATATTTTTGTTTTTACCAACTTGAATAATAACATTATAGTCATCAGCATCATTTAAAATTAAGGAAAAATCTTTTGAAAGATTGGAATAGAAAAATGAAGTCATTTTTAAGAATGAAAAAAAAAAAAAAATGAAAAAGCAGGGTACAAGATTTAAAAGTTTCACTAAAAAATAAATATTGATGATTATTTGATGATCAATGGCAACAATGACATTTCGTACCACTTGAATAAATTAATGTAATTTCGTTCGCCAAAATGTATAATTTTTAATATTAAGGAACGTCTGGAACTAAATTTTAATTGCTACGGAGTAATAAATAATAAGAAATTAGATAAGCAAGATAATTAATACAAAAAATGATCGCATAACTGGGATGGGCTTGGATCGGCAAAAAAATTTTCCGGCAGGTCATAGCCTCATATGGTCTACGCCGATGATGTAGCAGTTGTAGCACTGTAAAGGTTATGGCGCAGTAGAGTTAACCATGAAATTCAATGAAGGGTGTTAAAAAGATTTACCATTTAGATGAAGGTATTCATTTTCGAATTTAAAAGGTTCAAAGGATGTTTAGTGTTAGTACAGTGTAGTTAGTTTTTTTAGTTTTGTTAGTTCTTTAGTCACTTCTTTCTGTGCGACTTTTTAGATAGTATTGTTTTTTTTAAGGATTTTAATAACGGTTTTTCTTTTATAACTGCAGCAGTAATTGAATACTGCACTAGTAGATAGCTAATTCATAATAATTTTATCTATATGTTCTTTCTATGTACTTTTATATATTAATATTGACTAATAAAACTGGTTAAAAAAAAAATAAAATAATTAATATATAAGTGACTATGACGACTATGACAGATAAATACCGACGAAAGATTGTGTTACAAATGTGAAAGTTTTTATTAGTTCGTAAGAATAGTACTGTACGTTTCGGTAATAACGATAAAGTTTAAGTTCTATTTATGGTACTTTGATTGTTCTGCTGAGTTTCTGATCAGATCATATCAAATTTTTAGAATCTGATTCGGATCCAAAAAAATAGAATTTTTTAATATTTTTTTTTTATTCTTTTCTTTTAAAAAAAAGAATTTTTATTTAAAAAAAAAAAAAAAATTTGCTTCTGCCGAATAATTTGATCAAAAATTAAAAGAAATTACTGTAAAAACCGATACATACTGATGAGGAAAAAATCGGGTAGACTTTTAAGTATATTTATTATAAATCTTTTACTAATGCCAATCCATTTCTAAATTTGCTGCGGCAAAATCTTGTAATGTAATTTTTTGTCACGCATGTTCATCCTGTTCATCCTGTTCATCCAACAACCATGTTACACGTTAAGTTCACGTGGCAAGTCGCGTCTATTTAAGACGATGATTTTTTTTTTTTCACTTTAAACCTTTAAACATTAACATAATAGACATGAAACGAACAACCTCCGTTAATTTTATTAATAGCGCTAACAAGGGTACTCTTAGTAAAAGAGAAAGACAAAAACGTTTTCAACGCGTCAAAAATGAGAACGAATACGAATATTGGAATTCAATTATAAACAAACATGTCAGCCTTCTAGGAGGAACAACTAAAGTCTTTACGCGTGATGGCGGCTCTTATAATCTTTTTACTCCGGGGATAAATGTTATCCTATCACTTCAAGAAATTAATAAAATAGTTTATAAAGAAAAAGAATGTTTCATTACCCTTTACAAGTTAGAGTTTATGGAATCTCGACTGTTCCCTCTAATTCTATTAAACGGTCGTCTTGAAAATAATTCACAAAAGGAAACTTCACGAATATGCGGTAAAACTAAAATATTTATATTATGATTTCATTTGATTAATTCAATTTTATTAACTTTATTAATTTAAATCCTCTTTCTTTAAAATAAAGTCGAGTTGTTAACCCGAATGACCAAAATTTATCCAATGAGTAAAAATCTCAATGATTTACCGTTTCTAAAGATGAACTCTGCTTATAAGGATTTATTTATATTGAATATTTCAATAATACGTAATATTCATAATATGTTACAATGGCATTTAAAATTGATCGATAGAAATAATGATGATAAGAAGTTTATTCATCTTTTGCTTCTAATTTCTCGTAATCTCCTGGCGATCAAAGATGCTCCTGGCTCTGGAAATCTTACCATTAACGAGAAATTAAAAGCTCATTTTGATTTGATCGTTCAATTTTGCAACGAGAATCTTTTCGAGATCATTATGATTATGGCGAGCGATAAAAATGAGGCTATTTGGCATACACTTATCTTAGAGATTTTTTATCATATTCTTGAGTATAATAGTTCTGACGATTTATTCATAGACCCAAAAATGGTATAAGCAATTATATTTGATTATTTAATTTATTTTGATTTTATTTAATACTAATTAATGTGATTTATAGGAAGCATCATCAAAAGGGGTTAAATTAATGGAACAAATGAAAAATAGACAAGATAAAATACGTAAAAAATTTTCTAAGGTTTGTCCTAAAGTATGGGTAGATACAAAAAAAGGTTATGAGAAACCAGTAGATATTCGACAAACCTGGCAAGAAATTCCAAAATTTGATTCAATAGAACTGAGAGAAAAAACTGTGAATGGGCAAAGGATCTTGGTAAGTATTTGATTATTATAATCATTAAGATCATAGTTTTTTGCGATCTAAATGTCCTGACTATTTATTTTAATCATAGACTGAACATGTTAATAAGAAAAGACGCGTGGTTCTTGATGATCAAACTCGGAAATGCATAAAATTAGCTTCATTAAAAATAATTACAAGCAATGCGTTCGAAGGTATTTTTTTAATAAATAAAATAAATTATTAATTTAAACAATCTAACTTATTAAATTATGTATTTATTGTATAGTACTCATCATCACGATCCAAAAAGAAATTGAGGCTAATCTAGATAATCCTGACATTAATAAGATCATTGCTTATTATTTGTATTTAGTCGATTATATTTTAAATTTCAGGATACGGATAACTTCAGAAAATTCATTATTTTTAAAAGATGGAGTCTTGTCAAATATATCTAAGATATCTGATATTTCTCAAGTACTTCCTGCTATAACTGTCGAATCGTTCGAATGGACGTTTTCCTTATTATTTAAATGCGAACCAAAGGAGGTAATATATGAATTAACATGTTTTTTTAAAAAATAATTAGTATGTATTAAAGATTTCTTTTGTTCATATAGAATTCGAATCGGATTTTACAATATGCTTTTAAATGCTTAAAAAGTATGTTATTAACAATAAAACATGCACTTAATGGATCAAATCACGAAATGGCGCTGTCTATATTAAAATATGTATATGATAATGAAGTTTATACAAACCGTATCCTTGATCTTCTCAAGAATATAGAAATTCTTACTTTCAAAGAACAAAAAGCATTACTTTCTGTTGTTCATGTTTATTTAGAAACATTAGATCATTATGAGGGAATGACACAATTGTCCGATGGGCCCCAAAAGAAATTCATCTCTGATGAGATTATAAAAAATTATTGTAAGATACTGGAAGAATATAACAAATTAGATGATGAAGAACTCAATTATATAGTAGAATTCTTTTATCGTATCTGGTATAAATATGATCTTGAAGGGATGTTTTATAAGATAACGATCATGTTTCTTTTTAGTCGTATCTTGGATGATATTGGACATCGTCAAGAAGTGACGCTGGGTCAAGATGAATTATTGTCATTTATTTTAAATATTAGTAACAAGTTACTTAGTGAGCTTCCAAAGAATTCTTTATTATATGTTGAACTTTTGTACCCCAAAAATTCTGAAGATTGTAAAATATCACAACAAGGATATAATCGCAATTGTAAGATTTAAACAATAGAATAAAAATTTGGAGTGGTGATGGGATATTTTTAAAGTATTTATAGTATTTGAATATGAATATATTTATATAGCGTATTTGATATAATGAAATTAAATAATGAATCATTTTATTCTTTATTGTTTTCGGATTAAAATTATATTATTCATCTTTCACATCATTTATTTGGAAAAAAAAGTTGAGAATAAATTAACCAGACGTTAAAATGTTGTATTTAATCACCTGAGATGACTTCGTAATTTCTAGATCATTATTTCTAAATCCTGTAAAACTTATTGCTTGATCGAAGTGTACGAAGGGTTAGTAATTCCCTTATAAACAATGAATCATTAAATAAAGATGTGCGAAATGCGAAACGCATGTAAGAATTTTATCGTTAGTTGATATTATATTAAAAGATTTGAAATTAACATAATTAACATCCACAACCGCTAACAAAGAAACGGATATTAGCTAAATAATTTAAGCTCACTTCATGTGATAATTTCCAAATATGATCAAAGAACGATGAAAAAAAATAATTTTAGTTACGAAGGATAAAATGGAGCGTTTGGCGAAGAATAAAATGATTTCTTCGCTTGTGATATATTGAACTAATATTTATATTTTTATAATAAACACTATTTGTCAGTATATATTATAGATTTTAATAATGGCGAGTAGGATGTATTAAATATTAAATGCAAATAACGTATAAATCATTCATAATTTCACAAATCAATTTCACAAATCAATGGTTATTGAAGTGTAGAGCTCAAATTAAATGTTAAATTTAACGAAAAGCGAACCTAATCCAGATTTAGATTGGTATTTGATGAATCATGTGATATGATTTTATTGAATAGTAAATATTAACCGATTTTCTACTATACGTACAACTAATGACTTTTTTTCTTTATTAAATAAAAAAAAAAATTTCTATATAACATAAAAAATACTTAATTTACTTAATTTACTTAATTCACTTAATTTACAATAAATGTTTCAATTTCTTCAATATCATAAACTTCTTTTGTATTTAAATTATTTTCATAATTATTATTATCATTATTAGCGTATAATTGATCTTTATACATAAATAATGAATTAAAACCAAAATCAAAACCTGTTCCATGAAAATCATATATAGCTTTATCATAATTTATTACTCTACTTAATTTCATATTTTGATTATTATTTTCATCATTTTCAAATGAAAAAATAAAATTATTTGATGAATAATAAAATTTTGAAAATTCATTACCATAAAAACTTGACATAATAATATTATTATTATTATCTTCAATTGAATTAAATCCAATATTACTATATCCTCCAAAAATTTTATTTTTTTGTTTAACTTTAATTAAAACTAAACTTTCTACTCTTCCTTTACATTTATTTTTAAATATTTCATTACTAATACCATCTATACTACCACGATAAATAAGATTGAATTTATAACGTGAAATCCAAAAATCTTCTTTATTAATCCATTTAATAATTATTTTTGCAAGTTTTGGTTTGATAATCTTTGAATCAAATTTTCCTATTCTAGGTGGTAATGTATTTATTTTTGGAAATATACCTTTATTATAAAATTCTTCAATTTCTTCATAAATTTGATTAGGAATAATATCTTTATATGGTTTGATTTTATCATTAAAATCATCAAAAGTGATTTCTACAAATCGGATTAGAGGAATAAATTGTTTTAATGTTTCCTTTAATGCTTCATAATCATCATTATTCCATTTTTCTCTATCACATTTCTCATTTCCTGAAACAGGGGTTCGTTCAATACCCCACTTAATAAAGCGATCCCATGATATATCACAATTCTCATTTCCTAAACCGGGAGTTCGTTCAATACCCCATTTAATTAAATGATTTAAAGTATTTTCATTTCCTAAACCAGGAGTTTGTTCAATACCCCATTTAATTAAATAATCCCAAACGATAATTTCTTTAATTTGTAATTCATCCCTTTCAAGAATTTTATAAAGAATATCTTTATCTAAAGAGAGAAATTCATTTGAAGTAATAAATGAATGTGTTTCTTTACAAATAATTTCAAGGCAATAATCTTGTAATTTCTTACAATTAACAAGTTTAAATGCAATATGTAAAACAAGATAAATATTTTTTAAAATCCATTCAATTTTTTTTTCAATTAAACATTCTTGAGCATAATTAAATAATTCATCAATAAGTAATTCATCCGATGCAATTAACAATTCAAGTATATCCTCACCAGATTGTTCAGTTAAATCAAGTTCACCAATATAAATATACCTAAAAAAAAAATAAAAATAAAAATATAATGTTATTTTTTTTTTCGAAAAATTTTCGGAAAAAAAAAATTGAAAAATTATTTCTTACTTTAAAATTAATTCAAAAACATTTGGTGTAATGTTTGTTTTATTAAATAAAATCATATCATTTTGTTTTGTAATCCAATTAGATGAAAGGGCACCTTTAAAATAAGGTGAACGAGCACGTAAAATTACTGAATGCGCACGAAATTCTTTTATATTTTCTTCTTCACCAACTTTAATAATAACATTATAATCATCTGCTTCATTTAAAATTAAGGAAAAATCTTTTGAAAGATTAGAATAAAAAAATGAGGTCATTTTAAGAATTGAAAAATAAAAAAATGAAAGTACAAAGACACACAAAAATTTGAATGAAATATTTATACGGGAATAAATATTGATGATCGTTGACCTCATGCGCCACTTCCAACAAAAAATTTCGTAACAGGCGCAGCAAATTTAAGAGATTAGTAAACTGCACATTACAAATCGGAATTAATTAAGGGAATAAATCGATATAACATTTCCTTTAACGCTTCATAATCTCCATTGTTCCATCAAATAGTGAAAGTGATTAGTAATTGTACATTCTTATCTAATTAAATGATCTTAAGCAACAATTCCTTTAATCAACAACGTTCTAGCAAATCATTATTAATCATCAATAACCCTGGGTTAAGAAAAATGATTTCAAGCAATAAATCTTTTAAAATTTGCAACTTGCAAGTTTACATACATATTATTATATGACATCTGTCATATAATAATATAACCAAAAACGACAAAACAAAGGGAAAGTGAGGAAAATAAGAGAGAATCAGAGGGGTAGTATTAAGAACAAGAACAAAATTTTTTTGAATCAAATTTCTTTTATAATCAATCAAGTACTAAGTAATCTCGTAAATATTCAAACTAATTCTTCAAGAAGTAGCTCATTAGATACGATTAAAAGTTTAAGAATGTCTTCACATGGTTGTTCTGTCAATTTCACTTCATCTGTGTAAATATAAATTATATATTATAATAAAGCAATATAATAAATTAAAATATACTTTACTTTAACGTCATGTCATGTCAAAACCATTTGAAGTAATGTTTGGATTATTAAAGGTAATCGGATGTAATCAAATTAGATTGAAGGAGCACCTTTGAAAGAAGGAGAACGAGCACGTAAAATACACGAAATGTTTTGTATTTTTGTTTCGCCAGCTTTAATAATAACATCATAATCGCCAGCATCATACAAGATTAATAGTCTGTTGAAAGATTAGAATAAAAAAAATAAAATCATTTTATGAATGAATATTAAAATGAAAGTACAATTAAAAAAAGTTATACATACGCATGGATTAAATAATTTATACAAATTAGCTTCATTGTAAATTTAACTCATTGACGTTCGATGACCCAATGATCTGATCGTTTGACCACTTTTCGGGTTAGGAATTACTTGGATAAAGTTGAAGTTTTGAACTTTATATTCAAAAATCATAAATACAAATAAATAATATAGCGGAATCTCTTCAACATATGTTAATCTCTTATCTATGTCATTTGGATCATTTATCATAAAATATAGGACAAATTGACAAATTAGTAATCACGTCATCACGTAATGTACAAAATTTTTTTTGGAAATTCCTACCGATAATTAATAATTAATACTAGGAAATGGAACCGTTGTGAATTCAGGAAGCAAAAAAATTTGCGATTTTATTGGTTGTCGATCACGTGAATAGACGTCCGGCGAAGCGAAGGACAATTGTTTTGTGATTTCGTTCAAGTTTTATTCATGAATTTTACCGATTTTTTTTTTTTTGTTTCAAAGATATACTGTATAGTTTATGATTAATAAGTTCAAAAAAAATTATAATTACGCGTTGCAAAAATCAAACTTATTTAAATATAAAAAGAAATTTATTTAATATGTAATAAAAAAAATATAATAAAAAAAAAATTATTTAATAATACTACTTCCTTCAAACATTTAATAATTTAAATGACTGGTCATTTGACAAATGACTTAAATGGCTTGTAATTCATTTCAAATAATTTGCTGAACACTGCATGGTCTTCAATTATTATTTCCAACAATGAATACTATATACTTCAATTTCTTCAATTTTAAATATTTCATTCGTATTTAAATTATCTTCATAGGCATGACTACGATTGCGAGCACATATATATTGATCTTCATACATAAATAATGAATCAAGACCGAACTTAAATCCAGTACCATCACAACATATAGCCTTATTATGATCTTTTACACGACTTATCTTCATATTTTGAGTATCTTCACTATTTTCAAATGAAAAAATAAAGTTATCAGATGAATTATAAAATTGTTGAAGATCACGAAATCCATCTCCAATCGAATTAAATCCAATAGAACTATATCCACCAAAGATTTTTCCTGATTGTTTAACCTTAATTAAAACTAATCTTTTTAATGGACCTTTACATTTATTTACAAATGAGTTTCTACTAATACCATCAATACTACCACGATAATCAAGATAAAACTCATAACGTGGATCTTGAAATGCATAAAAATCTTTTTTAGTAATCCAGCTTATAATAATGTTAGCATGTTTTTGTTTAATAACCTTTGAATCAAAATTTCTCATTCTAGGTGGTAAAGTTGTTATTTTTGGTAAATTACTTTTATAATTATAGTAGTTTTCAAAATCCTCATGAATATTATTGGGAATAATATCCTTATAAGGTCGGACTTTCTTAAAAAATTGACCGTAAGGTATATCAATAAACCGAATAAGAGGAATAAGTTGACTCAATGTTTTCTTTAATGCTTCACAATCCTCATTATTCCATTTGCCTTTGTCATTACTCAAGCCAGGAGTCTGTTTAATACCCCATTTAATTAACTGTTCCCAGGCAGTAACTTCATTAATCTTTATGTCATCTCGTTCAAGCATTTTGTAAATAGTATCCTTATCTAGGGAGAGAAATTCATTTGAAGTACTAAACGATCCACAGGTCGATTCAAAACAATAATCTTGTAATTTATTACAATTATTAAGTTTAAATGCAGTACTGAAAACAAGATGAAAATGCGTTGCAATCCATCCACTTCGCTCTTTAATTAAGTAAACTTGAACATAATCGAATAATTCTTCAATGAGCAATTCGTCTGATGCAATTAGCAATTCAAGGATGTCTTCACTAGGTTGTTCGGTCAATTCAAGTTTACCAGTATAAATATATCTATATGTATAATAATATTATTTTAATAAATTAATATAATAAAGATAATAATAATTATAAAAGTTCATTCACCTTAAAATCATGTCAAAAACATTTGGAGCAATGTTCGGCTTAGAATAAAATATCATGTCGTTTTTCTTTTCAATCCAACATGAAGAAAGAGCACCTTTAAAATAAGGAGAACGAGCACGCAAAATTACCGAATGTGCATGAAATTCTTTTGCATTTTCGTTTTCACCCACTTTAATAATTACATTATAGTCATCGGCATCATTTAAGATTGAGAAAAGATCATTCGAAAGTTTGGAATAAAAAAGTGGAGTCATTTTAAGAAAAATAAAAATATAAGGTAGACATCAATGATTTTTTTTTTTAATTTATATAAATATTAAAAATCTACAAGCATGATTATGTTTCAGATCCAACTAAGTTAGGACATTTGAAGATAATCGATATGTTAACCTGTTTAAGTATGGAACATGGATAGGTGTATTTAGTGTTGATTCATTATCTAAACTAATATGGCAAATCTTTTTAGCCCGTTGATCTGCAGCGTTTCGGTAGGTTATACAAACAGATTGGCAGCTGACCTTTACTGACCAAACGGAAAATTTAAGTCATTCTATAATGAATTTCATTAGGCAAATGACACATTTTGGAATTTAACCAGTCATTTAATTCATTTGAAGAATATTAAATATTCTGAAAATTATTAATTAATTATTTTATTTATCCGAAAATTAAGAAACTATGCAGTAAAAAAGGTGTGATTTTTTTATTACTATTTGATATCATAAGCCAAAAAATAATTATTTAAATCTATCTTTTTTTTTTGTCATAAAATAAAATCATATATCAATAAATATTTTGAAGTCACTTGACCCTGAGCACATATCCATCACGTGTTGACGCAATAATCGTTTTACAAATGACCCAAATGACAAATACCAAGGGGTTATAAACTTTGGCAAAATAACTCCACTGACGAATTTAGTGAATTTCACGAAATTTAATTGAAGTCACCAAAAATTTCCTAAACGGGCTTTAAATAAACAATATCATATTTTTTCAGGATAATATTTGCGTATTATTTAAATATGGTTTAATCAAAACAATTAATAAAAGTATATTGTGCTAACTAATACATAATATATATATATAAATTAAATATTCTGTAAAATAACAAATGGCGAATTTCTAATTCTTATTTAAATACAACAATTGACACAAAATACTGTGATAGTGTCAATTAATCTTGTAAATTCAGCTCATACAAATGTAATACTTACTTCTTACTTTCTCAATTAAATAAACAGAATTTCTCATTACATTTTATTAGTTAAATGAAACATTTTCAAGTTATATTCGGAATTTTGTTTGAATTTAGATTAAAAATTATTCCTAAAATTACACTATGAAGTTATTCATTATATTAGTTATTATGCAAGCATCCTTCAATGCATATGAGTAAATAAACTCATTAAACTATTTCTTTATTTGTTCATATATAATGCGTTAAAATACCAGATAATAAGTCTGGAAAAAAAAAATTATTAAAAAAAAATTGTAACCACATTTTTTAATAGACGAAAAATATTTCTTTTATTGTATATTCAATATGAAATTTTATAATCTTTAGCATTTGAGCAATCAATGTGAAATTACTTTTTTATGAGATATTATATTATAATTTTATATTTGATTTTTGGGATATTTAAATATATTTGTTAATATAACAAAATTAAATTATTTTAAGCTGATATACTTTAATTTAAAAGCTTTTATTTATATGATAAAATAATACTAATAAGTAATGAAAATAAAATAAAATAATGAATATAAATAATTTACTATAAAAGCCTTTATCAAATTTTATACTATACGAACACATTTATATATTTTACAAAAAAAGAATTTTTTACATTTAATAATAAAGAAACATATTTTCACTCATTTCATTATTATTATTTTCTTATTCGTCTGTAAAAGAAGTCCTTAAATGACTAGAACTAATTTTAATGGATTTTCCTATTTTAAATTAAAATAAAAAATAAATAAATAAAATATAAATATAAATTACTAACATCTAGCCTAATTAATATTTACCATTATTACCATGAGAATTAATATTTATTTCTTCAATTTTTCGTTTAGTTCCAAGTGTGTCGGATCTATTACTGGTATAAAATTACGTTTTGAATTATTTGAATTTACATATGTAAAGACGAAATCTTTTAATTCTAAATACCTAAAATCTAGGTCAAACTCCAGTTCTCTTGAAATATATTCTTTAAAAATTTAATATATTCGTTTAAAAATTAAAATATTAGTATTTTACATTTATTTATCTACGATCAGTATCTTATTCTAGTAGTACATACCTTTAGAAGAATTACTAATAGATGAACATTTGGAGATGAAAGAGTTTAATGATCTACTTGTATAAATAGCACTCGGATGAGGCTTCCACTAAACTCGGGTCCAAGTTTCTTCAAACTTATTAACTCTTTTCTTTTTGTTTCTGCTTGGTTAAATGGTGCAATATTTTTATTTGTAAGATACCATTTACCGAGAGTTATGCGAACTTTTGTTATAGAGGGTCTTTTCTCAGGATCAGGATCCCAACAACTTTTCATTAAATTAGCAAAACATTCTGGTGTATCTTCTGTAATTACAGGTCGTTCTCCATCAAGGATTTTATAAACCAGATTGATATCGTGTTCAACATTAGAAAAATATTACAACCTGTTGTAAGTTCCCACATAATCATACCCATACAATAAACATCAGATTTTTTAGAAAATGAAGACTTTTTAAATATTTCTGGTGCAATATAAGGTATAACTCCATATATTTCATTATTTGAAGTGCCATTTGCTGGTTGTGTTAATCCTAAGTCTCCAATTTGCCATTGATGTCTTTTGTAATTTGACAAATCAAATAATATGTTTCCGCTATGAAAATCTCGATGTATATAATTTGCTTTATGAATAGTTTCAAGCCTAAAATAAGTAATTAATTAATAAATTAGATATTATTACAAATAAATTCAATAAACATATTAATGTAAATACCCTTCTGAAATTTGCCATAAAATAGCTAATTTTTCTTTATTCCACGTAATTTTTGAAAAATTTTGTTGTATCCAATTATGTAAATCTCCTCCTGATGCAAATTGCATAACTAATATATAATCATCAAATTTAGGATCTCTTGTAAAACCATAAGTTTTAATAATATGATGGTCCATTTTATAACAATATTGATTGGATTTTAGCTATAAATTTCAATATCAAGGATTAAAATTCAATTATTTTTTTTATAAACACTTAAAGATAATATTATACTTACCTCATTTAAAAAATATCTACTAATATCTTGAGAATTTTTAAATCTTTTTAAAATGACAGTTTCATTACTACTTCTCTCTCGATCATAACTAACTTTTATTGAGCCATCTAGCCAAGTTGCTAGGTATATAATACCAAATCCTCCTCTTGCTATTTCTTTTACATTTGTAAATTGAGAATATGGTATCCATTCCATTAATATTTCTGCTATAACAACATGGTAGTAAATAGAAATAAATAAACTATTCGGGATGAAATAATTGCCAATGTTCTTTATCTTATCAGTAAACTCAGCTAATTTCAATTGATTGTGGATTTCAAGTCTTGAATTATCAAGAAAATCATCTAAATCACTATTCCCAGTGCTAATTTTTGTGACATCAAAAATAATAGAAGATACACTTTTGCATTTTTTACATTGTGATTGATTTGTAATTCCAAAAATAATATTTGTTGTTAAACAATATCTACATCCGATATAAAATGTAAAACAATTCTCACAATACTTTTGACAGTCTGATGTAAATTTTAATAATGTAGAACAAGAATTGCAACTATTAATATTTAGCCACCACGGTAAGTAGGGATGGCAACGGTCACGGTCATTAACCGGTTATGACCGGTCATGACCGTGACCGATAACGGTTGGTCAAAGACCTCTGACCGACCATTTGACCGACCGGTCTGACCGACCGGTTAACCGACCATTTAACCGACCATTTAACCAATCCTGAAAACGTTTGCGAAACGTAATTTAATAAAAAAAATGTTTCGCAAACGTTTTTTTAATTATTTTAATAGAAAATGTTGCGAAAACGTTTTTTATTAAGTATTTCAATTAAATTACGGTTCGCAAACGTTTTCAGGATCGGTTAACCAGTCGGTCAAACGGTCGGTTAACCGGTCGGTCAAACAGTCGGTCGGTCGGTCAAAGGTTCTTGACCGGTTATGACCGACCGATGACTGACCATGACCGACCGTTGCCATCCCTAACGGTAAGTAAAAAATTGTGATAGGTTTTTTAGTCAAAGTTAATTCTACACATTCAGAAGAAATCGAATAGCAATCTGAGCACAATCTGATGTTACAATAACTGCAAGTATCTATTTCTTGATATAATGATTTTCCACATAGTCTACAATTTTTCTCACTTTCAATCATGTTTTCGAATGAATCACTACTAAAATACGTACCATAATTAGATATTTGTTTAAAACAAAATATTCCCAAGCAATTTTTGCAGCATTTTTGAATATTTTGTGGTTCTTTTGTCATACTTATTTCATGCTCACCACATTCTAAGTTCTCCGTTAATACATATATGTCCAAATATAAATTATTATCAGTTATATTAGCAAGATAATACAATAAGCATTTTTTGCAATAGTATTGTTCACAAACTGTTTTAACATATTCATCTCCACAATGAATACAATTGAGATCATTCATATTAAATGAAACAAATAAAATTGGTACGGGACTAGATTTTAATTTTGGTGTTGGATCGAATGAAACATAATTTAATTTCTTTGTAAGTTCCATTTTATTATTATGTTATGTATAGTATAAAATAATTATCAATAAAAAAATTTAGAAAATTACAAGCATATTTATAATTTATCATTTAGATTGTTTGTGCTATAGAAAGTACTTTTCTAGATCTTCCATATGCATGGAATTCTGAGAATTTTACCATTGTACTACAGAAAGTATTTGGAAGTACTTTATTGAAAGGCAAATTCATGATATTCACTTTATATATACATTTCTAAAAAAGCATTAGCATCTAATTATTTAAAAATGTTTCACATCATTATTGAAACGTGGATTTACCTTCAAATTCCATAGATAGGTTAAGAACAAAGTTACGTTCAGATATTTTACTTTTTAAAATAAAATTTTAAGAGTTTGGTTTTGAGAACCTCGTATATTTTGCCAATAGTTCTTAATAATATTTTCCAACCAAAAGAAAAATAATAATAAATATGATATGATGTTTGTGAGAATCTTTTTGAGTCTTGGGTTTTTATTGTAAAATGATTAATAAAGGAATTTGATCAATTTTAAGTTTCGTGTAACAATAAAGTCCCCAATATACAAATTTTTATAGCTAGCTGATATACTTTTGATTTAATTAGTCGGTGACACCCTAATAAGACCTACTATATATTTACAAAATGGGTTTGGAATGTAGAGAACATAAAATAAGAAGGAGACCCTATAAGAAATATGTATATGGAAAGGATACATTTTGTATACATTTTTTGTACGTTTCTATAGATTCCGTATACAAATTCCGTATATTTAATAAGCAATTCATTTTTGAACATTTTAACCCTTACTTTGATGAGTTTGATCTTCTGATCTTCCTTTCTGTCTTTCCTTTCCTTTCTCTTTCTCTTGTCTTATTTTTGTTATTTTTTCTAAATTTTTCTTCTTTCTTCGTCACCCCTTTTAAAATAATTTTTTTTTTCGTACCTCACTTTAAAAAAATTTTTTTTTCGTCACTCTCCTTTGAAAAAAATTTTTTTTCGTTACTCTCCTATGAAAAAAAATTTTTTCTTTTATTCCCACTCTTCTTTTTTTTAAAAAAAAATTCTTCTTTCTATTTCTATTTCCTCTTTATAAAAAATTTTTTATTTTACTAACTTTGACGTCCTCCCTTTAAAAAAAAATTTTTTTTAACTTTCCTAACTTCGTTACCCCTCTTTTTAAAAAAATATTTTTTTTGGTTTATTCTTTATTCCCTTTCTTTTTTATTTATATTTAATTTCATAGGCCAGCAGATTTTTTTGTGAGAAGATTCAGTTTCTTTTTTCTTTTTTGTAGATCAGTTTGGAAGTCCTTTTCTTTTTGTAGGATAATTCAGGATTTTTTTCTTTTTTTAGGTCAGTTCAAATTTTCTTGTTTTTTTGTAAGTTGGGTTCAGATTGTAGATTGTTTCAGTTTTGTTGCTTCAGAGTCTTCTTTTTTTGTAGGTCAGTTTTGGATTTATTTGGTTGTTTTGGTTTCTTTTTCATTAGACGCCTCATAATTCTTTTTTATGTAGTTCAGACATTCTGGAGTTCTCTTTCTTTTTTTGTAGGAATGCTGACCTTTGGTGACTTGGACGATTGCAGATACTATATGGGGGTTTTGTTTCCAATCTTTTTTTTGTTCTTTTAGGTTGTTTGACTTCAAATGAACCTGAACTTATAGATAATTTTGGTTGCAATAGGTGGTTTTAATAAGGAGTGAATTTTCATAATGTATTTGTACTTTGTTTATTTTTTATTTTTTATTTAATTTAATAAAGTAAAATTAGATTTATGTAAATACAATTATAGTAAACTGTAATACAAATAGGGATGGCAACGGTCGGTCATGGTCAGTTATCGGTTGGTCATAACCGGTTAAGGGCCTTTGACCGACCAACCATTTTGGCTGACCATTTTTCTGACCGTTTAACCGACCGTTTAACCGTTTTTTTAATGAACTTAATTAAGAAAAAACGTTAAAGTGTTTTTTTTTTTGATTAAATCCACTAAAGAAATGTTATAACAACTTTTTTTATTGATTAAGTTCGTAAAAAAAGTATTAAATGATTAAATGGTCAGTTAACGGTCGGTTAAACGATAGTAAATTCAGTGACCAAATTATATAAATTTCGTGATAAAATCAGTGATCAAATTATGTAAATTCCATATAAATTCCGTGCAAATTCCATATCCAAACCATATTTTTAGTGATACGGAATTGTGCATTTTTCCATATCCTATTATGATACGTTATTTCTAAGGAAAAAAAACTTTATAAAAAACGTATCCAATTTTTTTATAAGGAGAAAAGTAACACAAAGTATTCCAAAAGTTCTGCGGAAATTGCTCAAGAATTTGATGTTTTAATAAAATGTTATTATACAATGATAATTATTTGACAAATTATATTGCTATACAAAAACAGCCATATATATGGAAAAAAAATTTGATAATGACAAGCAAGGTAAACCTTTGCCTATCTTTTTATATGAAAACCGCCCAAAAATTCGGGCAAAATCAAAATTTGATAAAAATAAAATAACAGATCTTAGATCATCAAAAGTTTCTTCCAAATATATTATGGAATTCTCTACGTAAATATCTTTAATGATGTCAAAAAAATGAAATTATACTGCAGCAAGTGTGGGTTTTCAAGTTTAACCTTGCGTGATCACTTTCAGATGTGCGTACGTACACTGGACCTGTGGTGGTATGAAAGATGACCTCCTTGGTCAGTTGGATTCTACCTGTGGTCTGGCTCACCCTTTGGGTACCTTGATGCAAATAGGTTGTTACCTACCAGCTGTGTTTTTTTAAAAAAAAAAATGAAATTATGATCCATAAATAAAATTCGCCATTTAACCTGCTCGAAAGTATTCCTAAGTTTTAATCATAAAAATAAATGTCACTTTTAATTACAAAGAAAAATACAAACAAGTTCAAAAAAACTTGTAAAAAAAACTTGTAAAAAAATTAAAAACATCTTTTTTTTTATATGAAACATTAGCAGTTAGTGGTGTATAAAATTCATGCGCACAATGTGTACGTGTGGCGACTGTGACGTGTGCACAATTTTCTAAATTGGATGTGCACCGTATGCACAAAAAAAAAAAATTTCATAGTGCACTATTAATTTCATAGTGCACCATTAATTTTTTTGTGCACAAAAAAAATTTTATATAGTGCACAATGTGCACAATTTTGTGCACAAAAATTCTATTTAGTGCACAAAAAAAAAATAATAGTGCACAATTCCGTGCACAAAAAAATTTGATAGACAATCTAATTTTTCTTTTTATTTTTTTAAACGTAAAAAGAATGAGAGACATCACAAATGATTATACTCCTCAAGAAAAAAGATCACAAAAGAAAAAAAATATTCACATTCAACCTTAAATAGAATCCACTTTGGGCTTCAAAATATTCATGGTTACATTATGAAAAAAAAAATGGAAGAAAAGTTATATTAAGAGTACTCTTAATATGCGTTTTTAATTGGTCCTCAAAATCTTGAAATTTTAATTTTTTAGCGGCTTACAATTAGGCTGTGCACAAAAATTTTTGTGATGTGCACAAAAAAATTTTCACACGTGTACATTTTTTTTTCAGATTTATACACTGATTGTACTGTACCACTCAGTGGTACAGTACAATAATAAATGCTATTATAAATTATTTATATTTTAATATTAAAAAAATAAACTGGTCTTTTAATATAAACCGGTCTCTAAAGTAAACCGGTTTTATATGAAAAACCGGAGACCGGATTTTTCAATAAAAATTTTCCAAACCGGTTTTTGATTAAAACAGGCTGAAACCGGAGACCGGAAACCGGTCTTGGAGCTCTAACTAAAATTAAACATTTTTTTTTTTTTTAAAAGAGAAATTTGAAATTTGGTTTAGAACCTGCAAGAAGTTATCTAATACATTTCAATATGATTTATTACGTTAAATAATAAGGTAAACTTAAGATACATCTTTTGTTTATGCGCGGAATCTTCGATAAAGAAAAAAAAAACAAATGGCGTTATATCCGTTATTATAATTGCCTTCTTTTGCATTCCCATTGAACTTGGATTAATAATAATACAGACAATAAAGGAAAGTTGTTTATCGTACACATGAATAAATATTTATTCTTAGTGAATTGTACAACATTTAATTATATTAAGGTCGACCACAGTTTCAAATACCAAACAAATACTATGCGGCGTTAAGGAGTAACCATATTTAATTGAATATAGTAAAAAGGTCAATTTATATTTTTATCTTAAGAAGGAAATGTTTCTTCATGGCTAAAAAAATCCGAATATATTCAATAATATATAAGTATTGTTAAATATAGAACGGTATTTCATGTGTGATATGTTACATGTAAAATTAAGGTTGCAGTTACATATGGGCATTACACAAATATTTTTTTATCAAATGAGGAAATTATTATAAAAAAAACAAAATCGAAAAATATATAAATAAAATTTCTTTTTTTTTTAAAAAAAAAAAGAAAAAAAAAATCCTTTTCACTTACTTTTTAGTTAATCCTTTGAAGGATTAATAAAAAAATCTTTTTTGAGCACATATAAAATATATAACGTGTAAAAGTGTAATAATCAATGTTTGCGTTCCAGAAAACCAATCAAACACCATCGCAATTATACAGCGACGAAGAAAGAGCGGAGATTAAGTCAATTGCTTCTTTTGAATCAAAGTATAGTAACAAAAGGAATATTTATAATGGTCATCAATATATAGCTATAAGTCCAGATGGTACTCAGATAGTAACATTAAATACCACAACTTATCAATTAAAATTATGTCAATCCGATAATATATCAAAATTAAATACTTTGAATTATGTTAGTCTTAAAAATTTTGATGCTCCTGCTGTAATTTGGAGTTTAGCCGTATCTAATGAAATTACTTTACCTGATCGGACAACTGATGTGTTAATTGCCGTCTCTTGTTTTGATGATGATGTTAATAATGCTGATTCAACTATTAAACATACTTGGGTCATTTCTTCTGCTAAACAAGTGAGAATTTCTTCTTCAATTAATGATATGGGTGGTATAATTAAATTCTTGTATGATGAAAGTTCGGTTTCTGAAAAGACAGATTTGGTTCTTATAAATTCTTATGGAATTTCAAGATTTTCTATTCATCATGATAAAATCAATTCTATGATAAATGAAAATTATGTTCATGGTTGGTTTAGTCTCTTCTCTGATAAATCCGTCGAAAATTTTAATTTACCAAGTAAATTATTAAATAACGAAATTTCTAGTTTTTCTATTCAACAAAATTTATTAAAAGATCGTTTTTTAGTAGAAAGTTATAAAAATAAAATACAAACTGTTGAAATGTATAATTTAAGAACAAGTTTATTGGAAAATACTTTTCAAAAATCTGAAGAAAATGCTGCTTCATTTTTAGGAAGAGGTTATTCTTGTTATGCTATATCAAGGAATGAATCTTTATTCGCTTATTGTCGTGGTGCAAATAGTATTACCATTTATTTAATGGAGAATGGTTTGGAAGTTACTACAAAAAAATTTATTGAAACGAATATTCAAATATTTTTTTTTGATTTCGTAAAGAATGATGAAAAATTATTGATCGTTATTGAAAAATAAAGTTATAATGAAGTAACTTCTCAATTCGTTAATACTCCTACTATTGTAGTTTGGGATTTATTTAGTTGTTCTGATAATTGTATTAGAAGGATAAATGATACTTTTTCGTTATTTCCTAAAAAATGTGAACATCATCAAAGGTTGGCTAGTTCTTCAGGAAATCTTATTACAATTACGGATGATGGGAAAATCACTTCTTTATTACAAGATTCTGAAATAATTAAATTATTATATCCTGAAATTTATAATACAAGAAATGCTATTCAACTTAACAATAATATTCAACTTGATAAAAAGTCCAGTTCTCCCTCATCAACTGTCGTAACAACTAATACTACCACGAATTATCATTCAATTTACGATTCTTATGGAAAATATTTAGGTTCTAAATTCGAAAATATAATTATTAGTAATCCTGAACCTTGGATATTAAATAAAAATTATGAACGTACCTCGGTTTATCTTGATGATAATAAATCTATTCAATTATTTATTGGTGAATCCACTGTTCAAGTGTGGCGTAAAAGAAAAAGTGGAGCGTCAACTACAAAAGCATCTTCATCATCATCTACGAAAGTTCTTGAATATATTTGGACAAATAATTTTAATAGACCAATGCAAATCCAATCTTTGGAAGTTAGTCATAAAGAATTCTCTTTAACATTATATATTCCTTCCATAAATTCACTTTCCGAACCTGGAGATACAGTTACACTTGAATGGCCTGAAAAAGTTAATCCCCCAGTACATGCTTGTGAAGCATTGGAATTTTTTAATAAGAAAAAAGGCCAACCTTTAGATCCAAAAAGGCAATATCAATTTGATGAATTGATTCAACAAACTGAACGTATCATTAGAAAATATTTAACTAAAAGATGTGGTTTATGGAGGATGTTAGATATACGTTATGATATTATGGCAAATCTAATTCGCGGTAATTGTACATATATTATTAGAAATATTTTATTTTCCATATCTGATAGAAAAAATAATTATTTACATATTCCAAGATGTAATTCTTGGGGTGGTCAACTCACGAAAGATACTGATCTTGAGATCTCTATCGCATGTACAAAAGGTGGTTATCGTAAAGATACGATTATAGTTAAATATTTATTAGATTATTATTCTAATAATGCTTTATATTCTTCAAATTGGATGTTTACCGTTGCTAAAGCAATTCCGATCCTTTATGAATATAATTTAGAATTTTACGTTGAAGAACTATTTCAACAACGTTGTTTTGGTGCCAGTGAAGTTTACTTGGATCAATCTAAAATTCGTGATAAAGACATGGATAGAAGTAATCAGAAAGATGTTCATGCGTTAAACGTAAATTTGGGTCTCACCAAGAAATGAAAAGAGCGTAATTTCTTACAAAAATCAATCGTTAAAGGAAAACAAAGGTAGAAATTAATATTTTAATAATTAACGAGATTAAGTGTAGCACAGACCATAAACGAAAATAATTAATTTTTTCCTATCATTTTTTTTTTAGTGGAGAGAAAATTATTTCAGATTTAGTGAGCAAAACAACTTCTGCCCCTAGTTCTTCACTTATTAATCAGGTTTACATGGTACCTCTTCCCGATTTTACCGTATATCCTGAGAAATTTGAAGATAAACGAGTAGAATATTGGAAGATTCCTTTCAAACTTTTAAAATTATTATTTTGGCCACGTGGTCATGTGCTTAAAAAAAAGCATCAGATGAGTCCATTCTTGAGAATGATAAGAGCAGACAACGGCGCAGAAATTTATGATAATCCATCAATGGCCGCAGTAATTGACTTTAAATGGAATGCGGCAAGAAATCATTTCTTAAGACATGCACTTATATACGTTGTATTTGCATTGCTTTTTGCAATCTTAAACGGTGCAATTAAAGGAATAAATTTTGAAAGTAATTTGGGAGTTAATATAATGCTCGTTTTATTTTATTGGTTGGGATTTTATTTATTAAATACTGAAAGAATTCAATTGAAATTTGAGGGATGGAGAAGATATTTTAGCTTTTATAACTTTTTTGATTTGTTTTCAGTCATTTTTCCATTAGTGATAAATAGTTTAGATATATACTTTGGTACTAAATTCCCAGATCCAGATGAAGAACCAGAAAAATTTCAAGAGCAATTTGTACAAATTACAAGAGACTATCGATTATTTATTATTTTTAATTCATTTGCAGTTTTAGTAATGTGGTTGGAACTTTTTTTGGTAAGTTTTTGAATGATATTTATATATACATAACGTTTGAATATTTGATACTAACTTTATTTTTAATAAAAATAGTTGTTACGATATTTTGAAAGATCTGGAGCTTACATTTATATTTTGGTTAATATCTTTAAACAAATTATACCTTTCTTGATTTTTATTCTAGTGGTTGTCCTTGGATTTGGTCATGCTATGTGAGTGAAGGTTTTAAAAAAAAATTCCAAAAAAGTAACGTTGACGATCGATATTTTTACTAAATTTCATAATAAAATTTTAATTTATTTTTAATAGGTTCGTTTTACTTAATGATACTGCAAACATAGACATTAAACCTGATGGTTCCTCTTTTACAATCACACCTACTGATTCTGATTCAGATCAACCATTACCATATAATGTGGAACAATTTATTAATGTGGATAGTAAATCAGATAATTTTTACACAAATTTTATTAAATCTGTTGAATCGGTTTTCTTTTGGACTGGCGGTCGTTGGGATCAATTAGAACAATGGGAGTTTTGGCCAGTAGATGTTTATTCTATTATTGGTAGTATCCTTCTCGTTACAATTTTACAGAATATGTTGATTGCGATCATGACGTAAGTTTTAATATATAAAAAAAAAATAATAATGTTTATTTATAATAATCATATTTCAAATAAACTTATATATAATATTTAATTTTTAGTGGTGCATATGAAGATGCAAAAGAAATTGGTAGACATGCAGTATTAGAATATCGAGCCGAATTGATCGAAGATTATGAAACGGTCGAAAAACCTCTTGGAAATAAAAGAGGAAATCCTCGTTATATATATTATATTGGAAAATCAGATTATATTGAAGAATGGTTAAGAAAATCTGAGAAAGCAAGAAAAAATCATGAGAATTTCTTATCAAAAGTTGATGACAAAAATCCTTGGGATGATGATGATGATGACGACGAAGAAGAAGATGATGATAATGAAGGAGGAGGATATCATTATCAAGATCTTTCTACTGAGACTGATTCTACTGCATCACCAAGAAAAGAACAAGAAATTCCATTATCATTATATTGGTTTGTTGATGAAAATGATAATAAGGAGAAATTATCAAAATCAAAATCTTCAAATATTTCATCTAAATCAACTAATATTATTCAAAATGATGGTGATGGTGATGAAACAAGATTATTGAAAGAAAAAATTACATCCATGGAAAAAGAATTTTCTGGAAAATTGAATTCTATGGAAGAAACTATCAAAAATTTAATCAATATAATACAGAATCAAAAATAACTTAAATTTTTTTTTAAAAAAATTACCTGATAAATTTATTTAGTTTAAAAAAAAAAGTTAATATTTTTGAACATTTTTGAGCGTTTTTTATTTTTTATTATTTTTGTAATATATATTATTTATATACATTATGTAATTTTAAAGTACGGTTATTAAAGACTTTTATTGGCATTATAAAAAATATAAAATTTCACTTATTACCAATTGACACTATAAAAAAATATATAAATCGTTTTTAAAAGTTAAAAATGGCTTTTGAATGTCATATACAAAAAAAAATATTAAAAAAAAATTTTAAGTACAATAAATTGCTTCGAGAATTTAAGTGATACAAAAAATCAATAAAACAATGATCACCAAAAACTAAGTTTTATTGCATTGATGTAATGTGTTTTGTGGATTAAAATTAATCATTTGTTTATTATTTAGTAAAACCTGTAGGGGTGCGTGACTGATATGTTACTGTTACCACTGGTTTTGACGATTGGAGGTAGTAATTGAAAGATAAATAAGGTTAGGTTAACAATCTGTAACGTTAAATAGCAAGTGGTGAATATGTGTATAAATAATGAACAATTGGTAATAAAGCGTATACGATGTATAACGAAAGGTCAATAAACGATAATAAATAATGCGGTAAAATGAGATGGATTTAATACGCGAAATCGGAAACAATTCGGCAGGGTTATCTATACTTTAATAAAATACAATATTACTGCCTCTTTCGGCGCACTGTAATATTTGTATATTTATCTCTTTATAAAGTAAAACCAACACACACTTTCAAACCCTCCACAAATACATCGTTCAAAATTCGGTACCAATTCGCCTATCGAACATATTCGTCATCAGACCAATTTTACCCTCCGGCCAAATTCGCTGATCAGACGATTTTGTCCAGTTAAGCCACTTCTGTCTTAGCCACCCACCTATATGTATAATTATTTATTCTATGTCTGACGAAGAAGTTTTTTGCGAGAATTGTGTATCGTTGTATTATTAGGTCTTCCACGCCTAAATGACACCAACCTAGATAATAGGTGAAGTATTAGAATCTGTTTTTAATAAAAAATGGGCTGAAAAAATTACCCATCAAGTTAAACAAAGAGATGAATTGAAAGAGTAAGAAAATATTTGAGATAATTTTTTATTTATTTATTTATAATAATACACTAAACTACAATAAATTACCTGAAATTGTCTTGTCTGTTACTTTATAAATAAATCATTTTCTGCATTCTTAAAATTGGATATTTCTGATCAATAAAAAATTTTTGACTGACTTTATTAAAATTTATAAACTTTCATGCAACCTAAAAATCTTCAATTTTACTATATATTACTAAGTAAATTTTATAAAATCCGGTAATTTACTGTATATCACTAACTTATAATTTTCTTATTGATCGATACATTAGAATAATAATCTAACAATGGACATAAGTAATAATAGATGAGAAAGTCCCCAGCAAATCGCATATTCTAGTTTTTTTATTATATATTCGAGAGTAACGGTTATTGGTAAAGAAAAAAGAAGATTTTTTTTTTGCGTATTTTTAAAATTCATGTATGTATGTATGTGTATATATATATAATTTTTTTTATACATGTCAATATTTTTAAGTTGATACGATGATAAATTTCACGATAAAACCAAACAATTATCACACGCTCAGAAATTTGAATTTACATAAACATCCAACACCTGATGAAAAAAAGATCGGAACTGTAATAACTTGTAATTAGATAATTAAATAATAGATTGCTTAGTGAAACGATCAAATATTTGAACTATCTCACAAAATATATCTCAACAATTTGATCTTATTTCGGAAAACCTTTCACGCGTTCTTCATTGTAACATTAATCTTCAATAGATAGCAATTAAATCATTATTTCAATTGGTATTATGTTTCAAGTTTAGGTAGATTTTATGACAAAACTTTAATATTACAATCTATTATATAAATTAGGTATTTTTAAAAATATTATATTTTTTTTGGAATATGTAAATTATAACTTTAGTTAATTACTAGCAATCACTCGTTGCTTCGCACCGGGACCAATGAGTTTGTTTAAATAGAAAAATTTAGTATATATATATATATATTATAATGTAATACTAAGTAAATTGAAGATGGTTACAGTAGTTTTTTGTTTATTTAGTAATTTAATTAGGTCTTTCGGTTCTTCTTTGTAACTACTAAGGTATGTTTTTTATTTTTTTATATTTGTTTATTTATTACATGTAATTTCCATTCCCTACTAACTTTATTTCTTCTTTTAATTTTATGGGTTTGGTTTTACTTGGTCCCCTGTTTATCTCATTTTCGTTCCTTCTCCATTTTTTTGTTTTCTTTTTGTCTCTTCATTTCTTTTGCTCTTTTTATTCTTCCCTTACTTCATTTTTTCCATTGTTTTTTATTTCCTCTTCGTTCCTTTCGTCCTTTTCGTTCCTTTACACTACCCTTCGTTCCTTTTTTACACTACCCTTTGATCCTTTCATTTTTTATTTTTTATTCCCCTTTGCTCTATTTCGTCCCCCTCCATTCTTTTCATTTTTTTCATTAGTTCCCACTTGATCTTTTTCGTTCCTTTTGTTTCTTTCACTCCCCCTTTCCCTTTTACTCTCCCTATTTTTTCATTCACCCTCATTTTTTGATTAATTTTTTAGAAGTATTTTTGAAAAAACTTTAAAATTATGAAAATACTACAAATATTTTTATTTTAATTATAAATTTTATAATTATTTCTTATTTTATATTACATCAATCTTAAACTTATAACCAACTTAAGAAAAATATTTGAATAATTAAATGTATTAGAATCTATTCATTTCATTTACAGTATTATTATTCTTTTGGTACTTAATTTAACTAAACCATTTGAATTAAAATCTTTATTCAAAGATCTGGTGATTATTTAGAGAATTTCGGAACTTGGATATGGATTTGGTTATAATAATCTATTAAATCAACAATTTCTTCAAAAAGAATTGATATTTTTACATATTTTATAATTAATTAATTTGATTTTTAATGAAACTATTTATCCAGCGTTCAATTTAATTGAAAAAAATCTTACTCATCTTTCTATCAACATCGGTCAATTTTCCTATATCTGATATGTTATAATGATTTGTAAATATAATATTATATTTTGGCAATCATTGCCTGGGTTTTTTTTCAAAAAACAAATTTTCGGTTTGAAAAAAAAACTAAAAAAAAAAAAGAAAAAAAAAAATTCCGATTAAAACAGTTAAGGTAAAATGAAATTGTATTAGTTGATTGGATTGGAATGTACACGGATAAATAGAGGCATGTCACAGGTTTTAATTATATGGCATGGATTTCAAGTTACACAATTCAATTATTATGCAGAGACTAATCCAAACGTCAGACAAACTTTTTTAGTTACATAGTTTTTTAGTTATATAGATTTATCAAAAAATTTATACAAAATATCTATATAATTAAAAACAATCTCAAAAAAAATTCGTTAATATCAAAAAAAATTTTCACAAATTTAGTTAGTTGGAAATAATATTGAAAAAATCAAACAAAAAAAGTTCTCACTAAATCGAAAAAAAATCTCAATAAACAAAAAAAGTTCTCACTAAATCAAAAAAATTGTCACTAAAAGACTAAAAAGGTAGTTTCGGTTTTTTGGTAAAAACTGAAAATTATTATTATAGAAATGGTTCGTGGTAACCAAGAGAGCGGAAATAACCACAAATAAAATGCATAAGAGGAATTATACTTTTTTTGTTAGTAATAATCCTTCGAAATAAAAAAAAAATCCAGTTAAAATTTTAATTAACTGTAAATGTATTAGTTTAAAGATTTGTTATCCTGGTCAGTTAATTATGATATAATTATGATATGATAATTACGAAATAGATCGAACTCAAATTATTTATACAGGGTAATCTAAATATGACAAAATTTTTTTAATTAGATTTATTATTATTGGTATGTAAAATTTTTGTTAATTATATAACAAATAAGTTTAATAACATCATAGAATATAAATTTTGCAATGATAAACTCTCATTTAGTATAAAGGATAGTATGAATAAATTTTACCAATAAACCAGTAATAAAATAATTAAGCTATAATAAAGAAGTATATGAAAATAATTATGTAAAACTATAACCGTTTTTTGAAACTATATTATTCTCAGTTTCAAATGATCGTTGACAATTATCCGTAGCGTGTATACCTTAAAATCATTTAAAAATATTTAAAGTAATTTAATCATAATCGTACCTTTGAAATAATACTGCATCATGAGCACAAAAGTGCATGAAATTCTTCTGTATTTGTATTTTTATCAACTTAAATAATAATACTTTAATTTTATTATTTAACTTTTGAAAGGATGGAATGAAATTTGAAGTCATTTTTGAGAATGAAGAAAAAGTTAGAGGTACCGTACAAAGTTTTTAATTCTATTAATAAATAATCTAAAACAACGTAATACGTCAAATTTAATACTAAAAAAAAAACTAGTTCTTCTATTCACGACTAACTCATATTATACAAATCCGTTTAACCATATATACCAGTTAACATAACGCATTTTAACTGCAATATTTCCAAAAAAGCGATAAATTAATTATTCTATAAATTTATTCAGAGCTTATCGTGAATTTAAAATAATACTTAATAACTAGTTAATTTCAGTATCTTTGAATATCTTTTAACTAATTTAATTTTTACCTACCCAATATTAAAAGATAATTTATCTAAATATATTGAATATTTAATCTTTTTTTTTTTATCCGAAATTAAAAACTATCTTTGCTATTTGACATGAAACACCAAAATATTCTGATAAAGTTGCGAATTACTTTTTTAGAAAATTAACTTAAATTGATAAAATTATTGGTGTAAGAAACAAAGAAAGAGCAAGTAATACAAAAAATAAACTTCGAAATTACTTTTTTAGAAAATTTAAATTGATATATTTTATATGTGCGTCATTTAACATTTACAAATATAACATTAATTGCTACTTGGCGCAATAAAGCATAAGTAGTACAAAACGTAAACTTCCATGCATATTACAGTAACTAACTAGCCAGTATTTTTTTGTTCCAGTATCCACCACAGAACACAGGAGCAAAAATCGAGTGTATTTTAATAGCATCACGGGATCAGTGATCGTTCGGGTTTTTTGATCGAAAATCCATTAACCAATCCTATCATGTGATCAAAATCAAAATTGAGTACTTTGATCGGCTTATTGAACGGTTAACCTTGGTCACCTTATTTTTCGTATAATAAAATATTTTTCTTTTTTAAAAATGGCAAATAAGCAATACCATAAAGTAAGGTTAGCATTCATTATTATTTTTCTATTTACGGTCTGTGAGAAAAGTCCTTGAATAACTAGAACTAATTTTAATGGATTTTCCTGTTTTAAATTAAAAATAAATAAATAAATAATATTATAAATGAAATTAATAATATATAATTAACCTAATTAATATTTACTATTTTCATGAGAATTAATATTAATTTCTTCAATTTTTCGTTTAGTTCCAAGTGTGCTAGTTCTACTAGTAGTATAAATTACGTTTTAAATTGTTTGAATTTAAAATATATAAAGATGAAATCTTTTAATTTTAAATACCTAAAATCTAGGTCAAATTCCAATTCTCTTGAAATATAATCTATAGAAATTTAATATATTCGTTTAAAAATTAAACATTAGTATTTACATTTATTTATCTAAGGTCAACATTTTATTCTAGTACATACTTTTAGAAGAATTACTATTAGATGAACATTTGGAGATAAAAGAGCTTAATGGTCTACTTGTATAAATAGCACTTGGATGAGGCTTTCCGCTGAACTCGGGTCCAAGTTTCTTCAAATTCATTAGCTCTTTTCTTTTTATTTCTGCTTGATTAAATGGTTCAATATTTCTATTTGTATGATACCATATACTGAGAGTTTTACGAACTTCTGTTATGGAGGGTCTTTTCTCAGGATCAGAATCCCAACATCTTTTCATTAAATTAGCAAAACATTCTGGTGTATCTTCTGTAATTTCGGGTCGTTCTCCATCAAGGATTCTATAAACCAGATTGATATCATGATCAACATTAGAAAAAGGTTTACAACCTGTTGTAAGTTCCCACATAATCATACCCATACAATAAACATCAGATTCTTTAGAAAATGAAGACTTTTTAAATATTTCTGGTGCAATATAAGGAATTACTCCATATATTTCATTATTTGAAGTGTTATTTGCGGGTTGTGTTAATCCTAAGTCTCCAATTTGACATTGATGTTTTTTATTATTTGACAAATCAAATAATATGTTTCCACTATGAAAATCTCGATGTATATAATCTGCATTATGAATAGTTTCAAGTCTAAAATAAGAAATTAATTAATAAACTAGATAATTATTATAAATAAATGCAATAAACATATTAATGTAAATACCCTTCTGAAATTTGCCATAAAATAGCTAATTTTCGTTTATTCCACGTAATTTTTGTAAAATTTTGTTGTATCCAATTATGTAAATCTCCTCCTGATGCATATTGCATAACTAATATATAATCGTCAAATTCAGGATCTCTTGTAAAACCATAAGTTCTAATAATATGATGTTTAAATTCATAACAAGATTGATTTGATTTTAACTATATATAAATTTCAATATCAAAAAATAGAATTAAATTATTTTTTTATAAACATTTAAAATAATATAAATATTGTAATATATTTACCTCATTTAAAAAATATTTACTAACATCTTCCGAATTTTTAAATTTTTTTAAAATGATAGTTTCATTACTATTTCTCTTTCGATTAATATCACCTTTTATTGGGCCATCTAGCCAAGTTGCTAGATATATAATACCAAATCCTCCTCTTGCTATTTCTTCTACATTTGTAAATTGAGAATATGGTATCCATTCCATTGATATTTCAGATATATAAATAGAGGAAAATAATTCATTTGGGATGAAATAATTGCCAATGTTCTTTATCTTATCAGTAAACTCAGCTAATCTCAATCGATTGTGGATTTTAAGTCTTGAATTATCAAGAAAATCATCTAAATCACTATTTCCACTGCTAATTTTTGTGACATCAAAAATAATAGGAGTTACTCTTTTGCATTTTTTACATTGTGATTGATTTGTAATTCCAAAAACAATATTTGTTGTTAAGCAATATCTACATCCAATATAAAATGTAAAACAATACTCACAATACTTTTGACAGTCTGATGTAAATTTTAATAATGTAGGACAAGAATTGCATTCATTAATATTTAGCCACCACGGTAAGTAAAGAATTGTGATAGGTTTTTTAGTCAAAGTTGATTCTATACATTCAGAAGAAATTAAATAGCAATCTGAGCACAATTTGATGTCATAATAATAATAATCATGATTAATATTATATATTTCTTGATATAATGATTTTCCACATAGTCTACAATTTTTCTCACTTTCAATCACATTTTTTAATGAATTATAATAGAGATTGTCACTACTAAAATGTACGAAATTATTAAGTAATTGTTTAAAACAAAATATTCCCAAGCAATTTCTGCAGCATTCTTGAATATTTTGTGGTTCTTTTGTCATACTTATTTTATGCTCACCACATTCTAAGTTCTCCGTTAATACAGATACGTCCAAATATAAATTATTATCAGTTATATTAGCAAGATAATACGATAAACATTTTTTGCAATAGTATTGTTTACAAGCTGTTCTAACATATTTATCTCCACAATGAATGCAATTTGGATCATCCCTATTAAATGAAACAAATGAAATCGGTACGGGACTAGATTTTAATTTTGGTGTTGGATCGAAAGAATCATAATTTAGTATCTTTGTAAGTTCCATTTTATTATTATGTTATGTATAGTATAATATAATTATCGATAAAAAAAATTTAGAAAATTACAAGCATATTTATAATTTATCATGTAGAACTTTCCGTTTGTGTTATGGAAAGTACTTTTCTAGATCTTCCATATGCATAGAATTTTGGAAGTACTTTATCGAAGGGTAAGTTCATGATATTCACTTTATTTATATATATCTAACATTCCAATTGGAAAAAACATTAGCGTCATTGAACATGACATTACATAATGATAGTGATTAAAGAAAAAGAAAAGGGAATAAAAAAGCGAAGAAAAATGGAAGAATTACTATTTGAATAATATTATACAAAACCGTTTAACTATATATACCAGTTAATATGATGCATTTTAACTGCAATATTTCCAACAAAGCAATAAATTAATTATTCTGTTTAAATGTATTCAGATTTTATCGTGAATTTAAAATAATATTTAATAACTAGTAGTTAATTTCAGTATCTTTGAATATCTTTTAACTAATTTAATTTTTACCTACCCAGCATTAAAAGATAATTTATCTAATATATTGGATATTTAATTTATTTTTATATAATCTTTAATCTTTTTTTTTTTTTATCCGAAATTAAAAACTATCTATGCTATTTAACATGAAACACCAAATATTCCGATAAAGTTTCGAATTACTTTTTTAGAAATTAATTTAAATTGATAAAATTTTTGGCGTAATGAAACAAAGAAAGATTAAGTAATACAAAAAGTAAACTTCCACGCATAAAATTTAAATTACTTTTTTAGAAAATTTAAATTGATATATATTTTATATGTGCGTCATTTAACATTTACTTAATTGCTACTTGGCGTAATAAAACAAAGCATATGTAGTACAAAACATAAACTTCCATGCATCTTATGTATAAAAAAGGTGCAGAAGCTGCAGCGATCCAATGTTAAATCCCTCGGTATAGTCTTAATACCCTCATGTTTCTGCTTATCTAGCCGAATAATAATAGCATTTTCATTTATGAATTTCCACAAATTGCTTCAGTCATAAATTGGTTTTGTTTCATTATGACGATTAGAAATTTTGTGAGGTAACTTGGAAATTATTTTATTAAATAAACTAATATATTTAAGTTAAAATAATTGAATCCTTCAGTTCTAGAAACGATTTCGACACTGCTATTTTATTATGAGGTAACTCCATCAAAAAGTACCACATCATGTGATATAGCTCAAAATTAGTATATTAATTAATTATAACGCAGTTATGTTTTAACTAATGTTGACCAATATATTTTTAAGTTGATTGATCAGATTTGTAAACTAATATTTTTTTTTAAGTTCGAGCGCAAGTAAACGACCTTATTAGTATCCCTTGATAGTAATTTAATTTTGACCAAATTAACTTCGATATCGTTAAAGGCACATAAAGGCACAACAAAACTAAAAAATCCGACCGAACGAAATTGAATTGGAATATTAACGAAAAATTATAGTAAACTAATTTATTTTAAACCATTTCTGTTACGTGATCAAATAAGTATATGGATTGTTTTCATTATTAAAAGACATCTGCTAGCTTGATGAAAATTTATAAAGTTTAATAAAGAAATTCATCTTGCCATAGACATAAAATCTTAAGATTAATAATTGATTCATAAAAAATTTCAATCATCGAACTTATAATATTTTATTAAAAATAATGCGCGATTTTCTTAATCTAATTTTTAAAAAAATTTAATCTGTTCAAAAAAAAAAAAAAAAATTATATTGCTTAATATGCATCTGTTTATTAAAAAAAAATGGTCTGGTAGGATAACAGATAATCAACATCACCTACTTTTCCTCTTCTTCAATTATCGTTGCCTTTTAATTGTTTTCTGCTCCACCATCAAATTTATTACATTTACAATTGGATAAGATTGAATCTTAATAATCGCGTCAAATCTTCAGGAATCTCGTCATCAACCGGCCGTAATCAAGCGTCCCAAATTCCTAAATAATAATAATAAAATAATAATAAAATAAATAAATTAATAAATAACGAAATAAAATTCTTTAAAAAATATAATTGCGTCAAATAGTTTAAAAACAATTCAAACCTATATAATAACGTTCTCTTTATAATTGTTTCACCAATTTCTTAAATCTTAACTCTTTCGTTCGATTGTTCATTACTTGCATTTTTGATTTTCCCTAAATACCATTTAGTCAACTCATCTTCGCTATAGTCTGATTTAACATTAAAAATATAAAATGAATAACGAATATTATACGTTCTCTCTCACTTCTATAGAATAATAAATAAAAACTTACATATTGTTACATTTAGTTATGCCCTTATAAAAGTAATTTCTTCCTTTCGTAAAATACGCGATTTCTAATTTTCCCTTTAAATATCAAAGCCTGTAGTTTTAGGACAGTAAATATGATTTTTAGACTTATCGACGGGAGAAAGTAAATAAAGGAATGACGTAGAACGTTATCTTTAACGCTTTATTCCATTTAATCCCATCACTATTCTCGCTTCCAAAAGTTTATATATACTGTACCTCATTTAATTAAAAATCTAGACGACGATTTCTTCAATATCAAGTCACTTTGAAATATTTCTTCCGGAGAGGAGGAAAATTATTTTGACATAATTAATAATTTTAGTTCGTACAAAAAGTTCCAAATCAATTTTTATAGATTACTACAACTTACTGGATAGATGCTCTTAATACCACAAGTTAACTCATTTCGTTGTTCTTCGGTCAAATAAACTAGATCTTCAAGTTTGTCGGCACCAATTATTCTTCAAGTTCGCGTGTGTAAATATAATATATTTGAAATTAAGTTTACTTAAAGCGAAATTGTTCTCCGGAGAAAAAGTATATCGTTTAAATATTTAATAACATATTTAAACGTGAAAGTTAACGCAAATTAGAATTCAAAAATTTCCTGCGCCATTTTGTCGATTAATCAAGTATGGTCAGTTGACGTTTGGTTAACCAAATTAGGTTCGCCAGCTCGCTAGCGAGCGTCATTATATAAACAATTCTGAATTCGTTAGTGAATTCGCCAGTGAATTCGCCAGCGTCATTATATAAAATATCTCTCAACTATCATTCTTCGCTTCGCGGTGAAATTAATTTTATTAATTATTATAAATTATTAATATTCTTAAAAAATAAATAAATAAAATCTATTTTATACATAAAACTTTACAATACATAAATGATACATAAATCTATTTCCATATGGGTCTAAATAATTCAATATCTTCAACTTGATAAGTTGAATCTTGTTTTAATAATCTTTCCTTATAACTAATTTGTTTACATTTTATACTTAAATTATCAAAATAAATAACCAAATCACCATTACCAAAAACTAATTGATTATTAAAATCATGTAAACCATTATATAAATTCTTAAATAAACCATCAATTTTTTTATAAGATTTAATATTTTGATCAAAATTAAATAAAAAACTACCACTTTCATCTAAATGATTATTAGAAAAATAATAAAAATGATTACTATAACCACCAATAATTTTATCACAATTTTTTAATTTAATTACAAGTAAAGTAGAACATTTTAATTTTTTATATTTTTCCCTAAATGATTTAATATTTAAACCATCTAAACTTCCTCTATAAATTAATGAAAATTCGTAAGGATTATTTTTTGGTAATAAAAGGTTTAAATCATCATCATTTTTACCACCATCAATCCAATTTGATAATATAGCAGCTTGTTTTGAATTTAATGTAACGGAATCAATAAAACCTCTTCTTGGTAAACTTGGCATTCCAATTTTAGTTTCAGCTCCAATCAAATGATGTGCCATAATATCCTCATAAACGTCATAAGGAATTATTGATTTATAAGGTCTAATTTTTTCATAAAAATCATCCGAACTAATTTCTCTAAATCTAATTAATTGAATTAAACCATCCAAAGTTTCTCTTAAATCTTCAATATCTTTATCTATCCATTTATTTATATTAATATTTGATAATACACCTCTCGTATTTTCTTTTCCCCATTTAATTAAAAAATCCCAAATATCGTCCTCTTCTATATATAAATTATCCAAATTTAACATTAAAGAAAGAATTCTTTTTTTTAATTTTAATGAATCCTTTGATTTAAAATAATTTTTAGCTTCAACGCAAATGTAAGAAATACAAAAATTTTGTAATTTTCTACAATTTTCTAATTTAAAAATATTATTTATGACGGTAGAAAAATTTTCTATTAACCACACCTTATGATTTTCCACGAGATATTCTTGAATATAAGCAACAACTTCTGGAAAGTTTAATTTTGATGATGCGATCAATAATCCAAAAGTATCTTCCCCTGAAGTTGATCCCAAATCAATAATTCCCGTATACATGTACCTTAAAGAGTGAGGTAGCGTTAAAATTTGGCGTAAAAGTATTTTTCGTAAAAGTATTTTATAAATAAAATTATATTTTACCTTAGGATCATAGAGAAGACGTTCGGAGTAATATTCGTAACACGTAAAATAACCATACTTAGATTTCTTTTCGAAATATTTTCTCTGGTTTGAGTAATAATTTGTTTAAAATATTCGGATCTTGCGTATAATATAATCGAATGTGCATTAAAAATTTTTATATTACTATCATTTTCTCCCATAACTTCTATTGTAACATCTGAATTATAACATGGTTTTTCTAATAAATAAGAAAAATCGCTGGATAAATTTGTCAAAAATTTGATAGTCATTGTTGTTTACAAAAAATAAATTTTATAATATAATATAAATATATAATAATTTCTTTTTTATTCACTTTTTTTCTCAAAAAAAAAGTTTTGACGTTATTTTTTATTTTATTTTTTTTAAAAAAAATTATTTTATTTTTTATTTTTCGGATTAGTTTCGTTTTAGAATTTAATTAATATTATGGTCTCATGCATTTATGTGTAACAAATTATATAAAGGAAATGATACAAATGTTTAATATCTGTAATATCTGTGAACACTGTGAACACCCATCCGCATCGCATTACTTATAAAACTTTGTATCAAATATATTCCAAGGGGGTAACAACCTGTCGATCTTTATTTATTTATTTTTCTTTTTCGTGCCCCCCTGATTCCGCAGTAACCTAAAATCGTAAAAAAAAAAAAAATTATTCATTATATAAATTTTTACATAATAAAAAATCTTTTTTAAACAAACATAATAACCAAATTTTTAATAATAATTATCTAATCGGAAAATTTTTTTTATACATTATTAAATATTAGAAAGACGCTAAACTTTAAATGAATAAACCATTTAAAAAAAATAATTTTTATTTCGTTACACGACATTACAAATCTATCAAGTATCTTCCATTTATAATGTGATCTGCGCCACCTTTCAATTTTTTTATTTCTCTATTTTTGTAAATATTACAATGAAAAAATCACCATTTAAAAAAAAAAAAAATAAAAAATAAAAAAAAATTTTTTTTTGTTACAATTGTTACAACTTACAATCCATTTCTCCTTTTTTTTCAACACTCTTTACCTTTTTTCTTTTTTTCTAGAATTCTTTAGAGTAAACATTTCAAAAAATAATAATGAATTCCGTAACAGAATTTTATCGAACGTTATCGAATGATTTACAAAAATTAATCGTTGATGTTAATGAAAGTAAAATTGTTAATATTAAAGTTGGAAAACATCCTCATGTAGAAAATTTTAGAGCCCATTCAAATATTTTAATGGTTCGTTCCCCTTATTTTAAGGATAAACTTTCAACACAAGCTATCATTGACTCTGTTGATGAAAATAATATGATCGTTGATATAATTCAAGAAATTGATGCTGAATCCTTTCCAGTTATTTTACGGTAAGTTTTAGCGAAAAGTCTTTTTGCGGCAAAAAATTTTTTTTTAAAAAAATTAATCCTTGTATCCTTGTAAATCCTTGTCATACCAGGTACATTTATACTGGGGTAGCGGATTTATCAACACTTGATGCACAAGGTTTATTAAATATGTTAATAGGGGTCAATATTTTACAACTTGAAGAATTATCTTATCATTTACAAGATTATTTAATTAATAAATATTCTAATTGGATTCAACAAAATTATGTTCAAATTTTATCAAAAATTTCAAAAAATCAAGAAAATTTCGCTAAAATTTCATTTTATTGTTTTGAAAAAATTGGTGAAAATCCTATATCATTATTTTCTTTAAAAGATTTTACTAAATTAAATGATGATATTTTTTATATAATCTTGGATCAAGAAACATTACAATGTGATGAAGTTATCGTATGGGAAGCTTTAATTAAATGGTCTATCGATCAATCTCCTAATATTAAAGAAAAATCTAATAATGATGATATTTTTAATACAAGTAATTGGAATGATGAAATTTTTGATAAATTAAAAAATATTGTTGATAAATTTATACCATGTATTCATTTTTTTGAAATTAGTTCTAGTGATTTTTATGGTAAAATTCGTCCTTATAGAAAAATTTTATCACCTGAAACTTATGAAGAAATATTGGCTTATCATATGAAAGAAACAAAACGTAAATCAACTAAATTATGGCCAAGGTTAGGTAAAATTGATTCAGAAATTATAAAATCAAAACAAGCAACAAGTATAACTAATTTAATAGGTAATCATTATTCTTTACAAAATAAAAAAAAAATTTCTTTCTCCCTTTTATATAGAGCAAATAGAGATGGTTTTAATCCTGGTATATTTCGTAATCAATGTAATGATCAAGGTTCTAGTTTGGCTTTAATTAAATTAGATAATGGTAAAGTTATTGGTGGTTATAATCCATTAGGTTGGATGAAAATTGATCCAAAAGATAAAAATGATTATTCTAAATCATTTTTATTCTCTTTTGATCCTAATTTAGATATTAGATCAATGAAATGTATTAGTGTTAAAACTCCAATTTTTGCTTTTAATAATCAAAATCAACAAGCTTTACATTTTGGTACTAGTGATTTAATTATTAATGGTAAAACTGGTACTTGTATTGTTAAAGATTTTCAAAATCCTATCATTAATACTCGAAATTTCAATATTGATAATATTGAAGTTTTTGCTGTAAGAATGAAGTAAGTAATCAGGATGAAGTAATTAGGGTGAAGTAATTAGGACGAAGTAATTAGGGTGAAGTAATTAGGATGAAGTAATTAGGATGAAATAATTTGAGTAATAAGAGTAGAAATATTTATGTGAGGAAGCGATTATGTATTTATGTGAGAAAGCGATTATAAATTATTTTGTATGTATCTACAGTATGTGCTATGTGCAGTATGTGAGGAAGAAATTATAAATTATTTGTATGTATTTAAATTATAGATATATATTTGTTTTTATGTATCATATTATTAAATAAAGTATATTTATATGATAGCATATATTTTGCTCAAGAAAGAAAAGAATTGCTAAACCAATAATAACATAGGACTTCATATCACGCTGATTTCATCAAATTACAATTGTTATTCAATCGTATCCTTTAAGACCTTCGTATCCATTTTCATTTCTGGGATCCTGTCTTTCAAGAGATTCATTTGATTCATTCTTTTTGCTTGAAGATCAAACCAAGGACAAAACACGGAAAACGCCTAAAATGATAATTCACAAGTAGGTTAACGTTACGTTAACTAAGATGTGCTTTTTACTCCCGCTCCTTTTCCCGTTTATTATTAGTAGTAATTTAATATCTCTCACGAATTTAAAATTTATAAAGTTCAAATTATTTTAATATATATATTTAACACTATTAAATAATTCATTAAACATGATCAATATGAGAACGAACGTTCATATTGAAGAACAATGCATTTTTGAAACATGTTTGAACGTAATAAACGTGCATGAAATTCGATCTTAAATGGTTATGTATAATGAAACAATCGTCGGCATCATTTATTTATTGCTGATCCGCTGATCCGCTCTTCTTTATAAACCTATAGTTGGTAATTTGTTTACCTCCGATACTCCCCCGATGTTCCTCCTGATAGCCCAAATTTGAAAAAATAAAGCGATTATGGCGCAGTAATACTGGTAAATTATAAATACTCGACAAAAAAAAAAAAAAAAAAAAATTTAATAAAAATCTCCAATATATTCTTAATATTTGAATTTAAAGAAATGACTTTGAATTTTCAATCATGTCTTTTTAAAGACATTTCTTCAATGTTAAAAAATGCCGACGATTATAACGTTATTATTAAAGTTGGAAAATCTCAAGATATAAAAGAATTTCGTGCACATTCAAATATTTTAAGATCTCATTCTCAACATTTTAAAAATGTTATTCCTGCCGATATTAATAAAAAGAATACTATTTTTACAATAATCAAACCAAATATTACTCCTACCATTTTTGAAATAATTCTCAAGTATTGTNAATATTTAGAGAATTTCGGATATGGATTTGGTTATAATAATCTATTATTAAATTAACAATTTCTTCAATTAATTAAAAAAAAATTTTTTTTTTTTTTTTTCCTAATTTTTAATTTTTATGAATTTATTATTTTAACAATATCTTTCTTTAAAAAAAATTAAGATATATTTATACCGGAGAATTTAATTTCAAGAATAAATCGGGAACGGATAGTTTTAAACTATTGGTTGCATGTAGTAATTTACTTCTTGAAGAATTAGTAGAATATTTACAATCTTTCTTAATTGAACAACATTCATCTTGGATTCGACAAAATTTTGTTCTTGTTTTAAATGCTATATTTAAATCTCCTATTCTCAAAAAGTTACAAGATTATTGTTTGTACAAATCCTTTAATAATTATAACTTCAAGTGATTTTCTATTACTTGATAAGGTTACTCTTTTTTATTTACTTAAACGAGATATTTTACGTATTAAAGAGACGGCTATTTGGGAATTTTTAATTAAATGGGGTATCAAACAAATACCCGGATTGGAAAATAAATATAATCAGAATGAGTGGACTGATAAAAATTATAAAGATTTTAAAAATACATTAATTGATTGATTAAATTTAATAATATTAATTCTAATGATTTTTATGATAAAATTCGACCATATGAAGTTATTATTCCAATTAATTTATATGATGAAATTTTGGAATATCATTTAGTTATTAAACCTAAATTATGTATTTATAATTCAAAGATTATCAAACCAAAACTTGTTAATGTATTTATTAATTGGATTGATAAAGAATTGAAAGATCCTATATATATACGTAATGAATATGATCCAATATATAAATTTAAACTTATTTATCATGGTAAACCTAATGAGATTCTTAGTAATAATAATAATAATAATAATTCATCTAATGAAGATTCTTTTGCAAATTTAATTTTAATTAAGACTAAAGGATCAAATACTAAAAATTTTGGTGGATATAATTCTCATGGTTTTGATCATCAAAATTTTAAAAATATATCATTTTATCGTTTATCAGATAATTTTATTTTTTCATTTATAGATAATGAATATATTCAAAATATAAAAATAAGTCGTATTAAACCTTTTCAATTACTGAATTTCTTCAAAATACTACTTCTAATACTTTCATTATTGATAATGAAGATTTAAAAGTAAATTGTAAATCTTATGAAAAAGATTTATGTACATCGACTTATAAAATTGAAGAAATTGAAGCTTATAATGTAACTAAATTTATATAATACTCTTAATAATTTTGAATTATTTGTTACTTGTAAGTAATTATATTTATTAAGCTCTAGTGCTTGACGCATGTGATATTAGTACTACTGTTCACATTTGAGGAAATAAGACAATTTATGACGCAATAATTATAAAATTGATAAACAAGTCGAAAATTTTAACTTACGCATTTTCGTTTCCGACCTTTTAAAGGAATTCTTTAATGCTACTAAGTAATAATTATTATAATATTATTATTCAAGTTGGAGAATGTCAAAAAGGATTTCATACTCGTTCAAACATTTTAAGAACTTGTTCCTTTAGAAGTGCTTCGGCTGATATTATTAAGAAGAATAATATTTTTACAATATATAAACTTATTCCTCTAATCTGTATAACTATCTTAACAGATACATTTACTATACGGTAAAACTAATTTAAAGAATCGATCAGGAGTGACCAAGTGAATAACTTTGGATTGTTGGTTGCATATTATGTGTCTCTTCTTGAAGAATTATTCAACTACACGCAATATTACTTAGATGATAGTAAATATCCTGAATTCAATAAAAATTTTGCACTTGTTTTATATTCAGTCAAACTAATTTAATAAATTACTAGATCATTGTATTAAATTTGTTTATGATACTAATCCACTATTAGTCAAGTGATTTCTGTCGCTCGATAAAAATCTTAATCGAGATTACTTTCACAATTTTATTAAAGAAGTGATTGTTTGGAAATTGAAATCTGTGATTAAACAAACACATTAGTTGGAAATAAAAAAATCAGGATAAGTGGACTAACAAAATTATGAAAATTCAAAGAATACATTAAATAATTTTATTCCTCTATTAAAATTTAAAGTCATTAGAGATTATACAACAAAGTTCTACCATATGAAACTATTGTTCTAAATTATGTATTCAAAATTCAAAGATTATCCGAACAACCCTTGTTAATAGTATATAATACAATGTTGAAGTTCGTCCTGAGCGTTAGTCGTACTAATTAGTAGATGTAAAGGGGTATTAACAAATTTAATTTTAATTAAAACTTAAAGTTTAAATAATGTATTCATTATTTAATTGCTAATGAATCTCATATTAATAATCAAGAATTACGCATTAAAGCTACTTGTATTTATGAAAATGTTTTATATGAGGAAGAAAATTACAAATTTATAAAATTGAGGTATATACTACATTGTAGTTATATTAATTAATTTATATTGACCCTATTTATTTTTAATATTTTTTAGTATTACAGCTTATCTGTTATTATTTAACTTTTCGCGAAATGTTACAGTTATTAAAACAATTTAAGCATATTTATTCAGGTGAATTGAAAGCCAAATATTTTCCGATAATTAATACAAATTCTTGTAATTGCAATAGTTACTAGTGAACGTGATTGGTAATTTTGCATTATTTTGATATAATATTTTATGCATAATTAGGAATTCTTTAACCAAATTAATAGACCTTAAATGTACTTCATTATTTTTATTATATAATATTCACAATATTTTAGCATAATAATAATATATATGTTGGTAATTTTCAATTGTTTTATTTGTTTAATTACAAATTGATTTTATTTATGTAAAAGAAACTTTACATATACTCTATAATCAATGTTAAACAAATTCAAAGAAAAAAAAAATAAAAAACAGATATTCTAGTTAATATAGATAATATGATAAAATAAAATACTAAATAATATTTAATAATAAATCAAATATGTTTATTATTCATTTTCAATTAATCCCTATAAAATAAATAATTTAAAATTTTAATTCCTTACCTAAAAAGCAAAATTAAATAGATATAACTTACTTTGTAAAATCAATAACTTCCACTGAATTACTGTAAGCAACATCGATTTTTGAAAGATCTTTTGTAAATGGATTAAGTAATTGAGAAGTATAACAAGCCTGTGGATGAGTGGTTAATTGATTTCTTCTAATAGATGAAGGATTTGCTTTTATATATTCATCTGCTTTTTCAAATTGCCCTTTAATCTCACTATATCTAATAGCACACGTAGATTTACGGAAAAATCCAATTAATTCTTCTATTTCAATGGCATTTGGTCTATTTTCTGGATTTGAATCCCAACACCTTTTCATCAGGTCAATATAACACTTTGGTGCTTCTAGTTCATTTATATCAGGTCTTGTTCCACTACATATCTTTACTGCTAAAATACTATCATGAGCACAATCGGCAAAAGGTTGTTTTGCAGTCATTATAAAATACATAATCATACCAAAACTATATATATCAGCTGTTTGAGTATAAGGTTTTCCTTTTAACACTTCAGGAGCTACAAAAGGCATAACTCCATAAATATTTTTTTCATTTATATTACTAACTTCACCACATAAACCCATATCTGAAATACATATATTACTATCAGGATTTGAGTAACCATTATAACCATTAAAAGATGATAAAATATTTCCTGTATGAAAATCACGATGAACCATTTTATTTTCATGAATTTTTCTGAGACCTTTAATGATGTTATTTAGTGCTTTTAATCTTTCTTCCCAACTCCAATCTGCAACATGATTACCAATATAATCATCAAGCTTTCCACCATTTGCATATTGAAAAATCATAATATAATCCTTTGTATCTGGATTTTGCGATATTCCATATATATGAAGAATATGATCATTATGTATGGAGTATTTTTTAACCTAATGAAATATAAAATGTTATAATATTGAAGGAGATTCAATTGACTAAATGAAAAATTCATACCTCATTTAAAAATTCATTAGCAACATTTTGTGAATTATGTAAACATTTTAAAGCAACTTGTTTAGGTATCCTTTCACCACGTACATAGCTTGGACCATCCATCCATATTGCTGAATATACTGTAGCAAAACCACCTTTTCCTATATTTTTAATATATTTAAACTGGTTATATGGTATCCATTCAACTATTATATCATCGTATTTATTAATTTTTGATTGCAATTCCTGAATAATATTATCAATTTTTTCATTTCCACTAGTCCAATTTGTAAAATTTTCTTTTAATTTATTTACTTGGCAAATCTTGCACCATTTACGCGCACGATCTACATAGTATGTATATATATCACCACAGTTTTCACAATAATTATATTGAAATACCACCATGATATAATCTTTTGTATTTGGATTTTGGGATATTCCATAAATTCCATTATTAAAATTATCAACACTATTATCACCACTATAAGAATATAATTTAATCTGAAAAAAATACAAAATGTTATTGCAAGTACTTTAATTGAATTACAAAAAAATTAATAATTAATACCTTATTTAAAAATTCATTGGTAACATTTTGTGAATTATATAAATATTTTAAAGTAACTTCTTCATTGGGCGCTCTTTTCCATTTTATTTCACGATAGAGATCACATTTTAATGGGCCATCCATCCACGTTGCTGAATATAATGTAGTGAAATCATCTTTACCTATTTCTTTAATATTATTAAACTGATTATACGGTATCCATTCAAATAAATATTTATCGCCGAATATATAATATGATCGTAATGCATTATTATATAAATTCAATTGTATTTCTTGAATAAATTCATCAATTTTTTCATTTCCACTGGTCCAGCTTGCAAAATTTTGTTTTAGATTATTTATTTGACATGGTTCGCACCAATCATACTGCTTATCTGTATATTTTTCACCACATTTTTCACAATAACCATCTTGAAGTACTATAATATAATTTTTAGTATCTGGATTTTGGGTTATCCCATATATTTTAAGAAGTTGATGCATATCTTCTATATCTACATTATTATATGATTTAACCTATTTACATAAAGTTTTTGTAATAAAAAATAATTTAAAAATTACATTACAAAAGAATTAATTGAATTACAAAAAAATCAGAATTTCATACCTCATATACCTCATTTAAAATTTCATTAGTAATATTTTGTGAATTATTTAAACATTTTAAAGCAACTTTGTAATTAGATACCCTTTCATAATTCTTTTTATCACGGTAGTCATATTTTAATGGACCATCCATCCATATTGCTGAATATAGTGTAGAATCATCATTTTTGCCTATTTGTTTGATGTCATTAAACCGGTTATAAGGTACCCACTCAATTATACAATCAGTTCCATTACATATTAATAATTGCATTTTTTGAATAAAATCATCTATTATTTTATTACCACTGCTGATCCAGTTTGTGAAATTATTTTTAAAATGACATAGACTACAAGTATATAGTCCTAATACGCCACAGTATTCACAATAATGACCATCTTCAAGTACTATAATATAATCTTTTGTATCTGGATTTTGGGTTATCCCATATATTATAAAAATTCCATTAAAACTATGTTTAATAACATACAATTTAGCCTGTAAACAAAAAACGTATATATAAGAAAAAGTAATTATAATAAAAGTACTTTAAAAATTAAATTACAAAAAAATTATTGAATTAAAAAAATTAAAAAAGTTGAAAATTTCATACCTCATTCAAAAATTCATTGATATTATTTTGTGAATTATATAAACATTTTAAAGAAACTTTCTTATTAGGTATCCTTTTACCTTTCTTTTCATCATAGCCATATTCTATTGGACCATCCATCCATATTGCTGAATATAGTGTAGTGAAATCATCTTTGCCTAATTCCTTGATATTATTAAACTGGTTATATGGTATCCATTCAACTAATATATCATCGTATTTATTAATTTTTAATTGCATTTCTTGAATGAATTCATCAATTTTTTCATTTCCACTGGTCCATTTTTTGAAATTATGTCTTAAATTATCTATTTTACATGGTTTGCACCATTTATCGTTTCTACGTGTATATAAATTACCACAGTATTCACATACAAAATCATCATGAGATGACATGATTTCGAAAATTTATTTTTTTTAAAAAAAAAATAGTGATGTGATCAGCATTAAAATAAATTACGCAATTTTCATGCAGGTAAGTTGGTTCACGTGATTTTAATTTTACGCCCAACGTAATAAAGTTCGGCCATAACTGAACACAAAAGTATTATACGGTATATAGCTATATGCAGTAACAGGGGAAACCAAATATTTTTAACGCAGAACAATGTAAGAGGTTGATAATATCATATTCATCGATAAATAGACGTCAATTTAATTATATAATCGAGTGAACAAATGGGCGGACTTATAGCAAAAGGTGGGGCTCGGACAATCACGTG